TTTTTTATTTTTTTTATTTTTTTTATTTTTTTTATTTTTTTTATTTTTTTTATTTTTTTTATTTTTTTTATTTTTTTTATTTTTTTTATTTTTTTTATTTTTTTAAAACCGGTTATTTTTTAAATGAACCATTTGTAAAGTTAATGTCATTTTAATTAATTATATAAACATATGTTTATAAAATTAAAGTTTATAAAATTAAAGGTTAAAAACGTTAAATAAATGCATTTAATTAAAACATAATATTTGTTACGGCCGTGACATGCGTCACGATGTTATCTAGCGGTCCGTTAAATAACATCATGATTTAATATTTAAGTTAAAACCTTTATCTTTTTATATATATAAATAAAGCCTTGTTATAATGATTTAATGTTTTAAGTTTTTTAAAACATCATTTTTTAATAATAACACCTTTTGGTTTTAACTTTGTAATAATATTAATGTAAAAGTAAAAAATAATACATTTAATTAATTAATTTTAAAATGTAAAAGTTAAAAACGATATATTTAATCAATTAATTTTAAAATGTAAAAGTTAAAAAAAATACATTTAATAAAAACACTTAAATAATATAAAAATAATGTAAAATTTAACCAATTAAATTTATAAATATTAAATTTTATTAATTTATTAAAATTTTATTAACAATTTTATTAATTTTTAAGTATTTTTTACGTAAACATATATAATTTTTTATTAATTATTTTATTATTTATTTATCATTTACTTTATTAATTATTTAATTAATTACTTTATTAATTACTTTATTAATTAAAAAAGTTTAAACGTAATATTTTTTTAAAAAAATAAATATAAAAAAAATTAAAAAAATTAAAAAAAATTAATATTAAAATTAAATCATTATAATAAAAATTATTTTATATATTATTATAATTTATTAAATTATTAAAAATATTATTTTTTATTTTTTATTAATAATTTTATATTAAATGTTTTTTATAAATTTAAAGTAATTTTAAATTTAAATTTATAAAACGTTTTATTTATAACTTATAAATATAATTATACGGGCCATGCGTTACGTGGCGTTTATGGCGTTAATAAACGTAAATAAACGTAATTTATTTATAAAACGAATTTAAATTTAAAATTATTTAAAATAAACATATTATTTATTAAGTTATTTTTTTATTTAAACCATGGAAAAAATTTAACATAATATAAAAACACTTTTATAAAACATTATAATAACCCGAGTTTACGAAAATCACGTGCCGTTATTGCCGGGAAAAAACTTTAAACATTAAATTTTATTAAATTAAAAAATAACCCCGTTAAATTACATAATAACTTTAACTTTAACGTTAAATAAAAGGTAATAATAGCCGTATATATACCGTATATATACGGTTTTTAAGTATAAACCGTTTTTAAATGTTAAAAAAAAACGTGAAATTTATTAAAATTAACCGTAAAAGTAATAAAAGTTAATTAATATTTTTTAAATGATATAATTAATACGTTATTTTTACATTATAAATTATTTAATTAATAAACGGTTATTACGCCGTTTTTATTTTTATGCCGTTTTCGTTTTAAACGGTTTTTATTAACGAACGGTACGTGTACCGTTTTAAGTAAATGTATATATATATAAAAATTAAAAAATATATTTTTATATATTTTTATATAAAAATTTATTTATATATATTATAATTAAAATTATAAATTACGAGTTATAAATTATAAGTTATAAATTATAAATTATAACATTTAATTAATTTAATTAAAAAATTACGTATTTTTTAAATAAATTACGTTATATATTACGTATATATAAATACGCGTATAAATTTATAATTATAAAATATAAAATAATATATACGTTATAATAATATGTAATAATATTATATACGAACCATTTAAAACGGGGGAATTGTTTAAATTAAAAAAACGGTTTAAAATAAAAACGGCGTAAAAAATGTAAAAAACGTAAAAACCGTTTATTAATTAAAACCGTATTAATACCGTATTAATACCATTTATTTAATTTAACGTTTAAAATATTTAACACGTTTAAACCGTAAACGGTAATATTATCATTTAAATATTTAAATTATTTAATTTTTTAAACATAAAAATCAAAAGCCGTTTTTTAAATTAAATGAAATAAATACGGTTATATTTAATAAACGGTATATATGCGGTTATTGTTACTTTATAAAACGTTAAAAAAGTTTACAACCATAATTACATAACCACATAACCACATAACCACATAGCCATATAACCACATAATTATATTACGGGCACCACATACCATTAATCGCCAGGTCCACGATTCGATTCCTCGACCTCGCATCCCGTCCTTTTTTTTTAACGCATTACTCCGCAGGCAAAAGTGCGGCGCTTCGCGCCGCACTTTTACCTGTTACGTAAGCGGGTCGGTCTCCGCGTTTCGGCTTTGCCGAAACGCTCCGCCGACCCGGTATTCCATGGGCGGCCTTCGGCCGCACAAGCCACATCCAAAACCCTTATGTCCAAGACCCTCGTGGCTGTGGCTATGGCTTGTTATTTGCTCAAAAATCGACCAAAACCCCACCTTCTCCAATATGCATCCAATCAACATTTACCGAATCGACCAAGGTCTTTTTTACTCCGGTAATTCTTAAATCCCAAATAAGCAATTTCCATTTTTTAATCCGGACGAGCTTTTATAGAAAAAAAAATCGACACAATAACTTTTCGTAAACTTAAAGCATTTTTTTAAAAAATAAAAGATAAAAAAATAAAAAAAATAAAAAATAAAAAAAAAACATGTAAAATTTAAACTTAAGTTTTTATAAAATTTGTATTATTTTAAATATTTATATAAAAATCGTTTTTAAAAGTTTTATTTATAATACACGTTTATTAATTTTAATTATAATTATAAAACCGTTAATAACATTTAACGGTTATAAATTAAAAAATATATTTTATTTTTTTTATTTTTTTATATTTAATATCGATTTTAATTTATATAATAATAAAATATAATTATAATTAATATTTAATTTAAAAATTAAACTTTATTATATATAAATTTTAAAATTTTAATTATTTTATTTTTAAATATAAAATTAAATAAAATAATAATATTTTTAAAAATACATTTTATTAATCGTTATTAAACTTTAATAATGTTAATTAAAGTTAATAAAAGTTAATTTATAAATAAAACTTTTAAAAACGACTTTTATATAATGCGTGGTTACGTGATTAATAACTGTGGTTAATTAAATTATAACAAAAAAAAAATAAAAATAAAAATTTAAAAAAACACGTAAAAATTTAAAAATGCATTTAATAAAAACGTTTAATAATTACGTATAAATAAACTTTTTATCTCGAAAAAAAGTTAAATTAAAAATTGTTTAATAATATTTTTTATAAATTTAAACATTTAAATTTTAAATTAATTAAAATTATTGGTTTTTAATTTTTAAATGGATTTTAAATATAATAAAATTATTTAAATTTTTATAAAAACCATTTTTAATAAAATATTTAACGGTAAACTTTTAAAAAAATAAATTTTAATTATACGGTTTTAAAAACTTTATAAACCCATTTATTTTTATTAAACTTTATATATAATAACTATTAATTATTAAACAATAAATATAAATTTAAAAAACTTAAAATTTTTTAAAAAGTTTAAAAGTTAATTTACACTTTTATAATAAATGATTAATTTAAACAAAAATGTAAATAAATTTAAATAAACAACTTTTTAAAATTATTACTTAACATTTTTCTTAAAAACATTAATTTCGTTAAACAGATTTTTATAACAACAAATGAAACTAGTTGGCATTATTGTGATAACGATTGTTTATTTATATAAATGATAATAACTTGATGATTTCCCCTTTTACATCAACTGCTGTTGATGAGAACCCATTAACATTTAAAATATGGCTTCCGTTGCTTACTTATGAAAGAACGTATGCTTGGCTGTGCTTTGGAGGCACCATATAGGTATGTTCCTATATACAAAGCCTAACTGTAATGACTGGATGGCAGACAAATAATAAAACTGTGTACCTACGCTTCCTTTGGCTCCTCGGAGCATCTGGATTATCAGATATAGTTTGACCGGCCTGGCACAGGTATACCAAAACTCTTAAAGCCCATTGACCAGTCGGTATGTACTGATCTACACCCCCATCCCGGCAGATTCGGCATGGGCGATAATCCCCTTATGAAAACGCCGTTTCCCCGCCTTCCATCCTTCTACTAGAACGACGTACACTACAACACATGCTGCCACGATGGCCCACTCTATGCCAATGCCTTGGTGTTTGAATACCCTCTTGTCGATGACTGGTAGGTATATAACAGGAAAAGTGATAATGAAACCGGCAAGAACGGCTCCGAAGAGGAACTTATTCCCCCAGACTGTCTTAAAGATCGAAGAGGGGCCAGTGTAGGACTCAGGATACATATTAAACAGCGAGCGGGTGAAATGCTTGACTTCCCAAGCTGTAACGAGCAGTAGAAAACTAAGGGTCGCAAAGGTTGTAGCGCGGGCTCTGTAAACGTAATAGCACGTGGAATTGTATTCTGCATTGCAATCGAAGCCTAGCGCTCCGGAGTGCGGCAGCTTGGAATAACTGGCCTCAATGGGGGTGTAGATGACGGTGGTAAAAGCTGCAATGCATAGCGAGCCCATAAAGAAACCATATACCATCTTGTCGATAATGATCTCTTTTGTGAATATACCAATGCGGTGGTCATGCGGTGGCTTCAGCATAATGTCTGGTTGAGCTTCCTCGAGACCTAGGCCAAGGGCCAAGAAGGACGACGTGATCAAATTGGCCCATAGGATCTCGATAGGGGATAGTGGGAAGACCGATTTATTATTCTGGTCTTTGAATGCGAGACCAATAAGTAATAGGACAACCTGGGCAATGTTGGAGACCAGCAGGTGTAGTAGAAACTAGGCAGTTAATGTTCATTAGCATTTGTTTGTAAATTATTAGTAGTATGTAATTCTCTACCTTCTGGATATTGTCAAATAGGCGTCTGCCTTCTTCGACGGCCGTAACAATTGAGGCAAAATTATCATCAGTGAGAACCATGTCTGCAGCCTCTTTGGCCACATCGCTACCGTTTAACCCCATGGCAATACCAACATCTGCCTTTTTCAAAGCAGGCGAGTCATTGACCCCGTCGCCAGTCATGGCACAAAATGCGCCACGACGATGTATCGCCTCAACCATGCGTACCTTTGTCGACGGAGTACAGCGTGCGAGTACTACCGGGAGTTTCTCTAGCTGGTCAATCTGGTCGTCGGTTAAGGCGTCGAAAGTAGTAGCAGGCATGATAGTGTCAGATAGGCCAGCGATATGATTATCGCTAGTGAGAATTCCTACTTCGTATGCAATAGCCGTCGCCGTTTTGATATGATCCCCGGTAAGCATGTGAACAGATATTCCGGCGACCTTGCATTTCCTAACCGCATCCGCAGTTTCTGAGCGGGGAGGGTCGTAGAGGCCGGCAAGTCCCAAAGGTACTAACTGGTTTTCGGCAGCTTCGCGCGAATCTCCAACGTCGGCGATACTTTTAACGACCTTGTGGGCAATGCAGAGGACTCTAAGGCCTTCGGCAGCAAGCGATTCAGCTTTGGTGGTTAACTCAGCCTTAACAGCATCGGGTGCGTCTAACAATGGCAACATTACTTCTAATGCCCCTTTAGTATATACATCCGCTGAGCTAGAGCTGGTTGATGAGTATATGACAGTCATACGTTTGCAGGAAGAGTCGAATGGATGCTCTGAGAGTATGTGCATGTCATCTGCCTGACAAACGGTGGATTTGCCCATACCAAATCGCATAGCGAAGACCTGGAGAGCGATCTCAGTAGGCTCGCCAACCGCAACCCAATTCGGTACTGTAAGGGTCGAGGTAGTTAGGGTTTCAGCTGCGTCGTCGTTAGGCGCCGGCTTACCATCCGTAACGGTGGAATTGTTACATAAGGAGATGCATTCCATAAACCTTTTCGCGGCAGCGGACAAGTGAGATGTGGATTTGGGCTCATCTTGCGGCTCTAACTCCTGGCTATTCCAAGTGACCCTTCCGCTGGACGGATCGAAAGGATGAGTACAGGCTTCAACGGTAGCAGTAGACCCATCGCAGAGCCAGATCTTTCTAGTAATCATCTTGCCTTGAGTCAAAGTGCCTGTCTTGTCGGAACAAATGTTGGTCACTCCCCCAACAGCCTCTAGGGCGGCAAGTTTTCTCACAATCACGTTGCCCTTAGCCATCGCCTTCGTTCCGACAGCCATACTGATAGTCAACACGGCAATAAGAGATTCTGGAATAACAGCAACACCAACACAGATACCGTAGATGAGAACCTCGTCATCAATATTCCAGACGCTAGCCGAAAAGACGATGACGGCGAGTAAGACTGCTAGGGCAAAAAGGAGCAAGGCAAACTTGCTCAGCTTAACCTGAAGAGGCGTGCCGTCGAGTCCTAGGATGCTGCGCCCGCTGGCCTTTGCGCGTTTCCAAAAAGCATTTAATCTGGATATGTTACCACTCGAACTGGGGTTAGCTCGGAGTAACTGAGCAATCTTTCCCACTTCAGTTTCCATTCCAGTAGCAGCTACGATGCCTTTTCCTCGACCGCGCGTGATAGTGCTGGCGCAATATAACATGTTCACGCGGTCACCAAGAGGAACGTCAACATCGTCTAGGACAACTTCTGGATGCTTGCTGATCGGTAGAGACTCCCCTGTTAGTAACGCCTCATCGGCAGATAAGTTAAGTCCGTCGACAAATCGGATATCTGCTGGGACAATGTCGCCAACATTGAGTAATACAACATCGCCTCTAACAAGCAATTCGGCCTTGATCGTTGTGATCTGTCCCGAGCGGATAACCTTGCATGTCGGCGCGGATAACGCGTAGAGCGACTGGATAGTCTGTTCGGCACGATAATCCTGGATAAATCTATTAATTATTAGTATGGAAGGCGAGATGTTTCACTTGCGACGGAAGATCTTAACGATCGGTGATTCATAACGTACCCCACGATGATATTAAGTGAGATAACAGCAGCAATAACGCCGCCTTCGATGAAATCGTTGATGGCAAATGAGAGAGCCATAACAAGAATGAGAACCATCGTCAAGCTGTTAGATATCTGCCTCAAGAGAATCTTCCACACGGATAGCCCTTGAGCGCCCTCCATCTTATTCGGCCCAAAGCGCTCCAGGCGACGAGCTGCTTCACCGCACTCGAGGCCATTCTCAACATCGGTTTCGAGAAGTTGTTCTAGATCCTTAATCGCTAACGTATGGGGCTCGAGATGGTTCTCTTCAACGGGAGAAGAAACTGTCTTTTCCCGAGACTTTTGGTCTGGAAGCACAGCTTCCTGGTTCCTGCGACCGAGCGAAGTTTCTGGCGTGGCATTGATATGGCCGCATATAGGGGGCTCAGTCGACTCTTCGACAGCAGGTTGGTCTTCTACACCCATTCACGTGTTGTCGGTTAGTAGCTAGTATGACAGTCTAAACGAGATAATCCACAAAAGGGATCTGAGAAATTGCGGCCGAAACCAGATCGTGGGTAGGACGAGGATAGATATAGTACGACCTACTAACCCTGCCGAGCTCATCCATTACTATGTAGTCCGGCGCCCAGCGTCCGCCAAGGGCTCATCTCGACGCGAGTGAGGCGAATTGCGCATAGTATGCGTGTCGGAGGCGCTGATTGGGCCTTACCAATGGAGAGGATTACTGACGATTGGACGCCAAGCAAGTGCTGCGGAGTAGCAGTTTACGAAACTATGAAAATATCTAATAACTAGGCAGATAGGTTAGAAGATACTTAATGTAATTGGTAGCAACGAATATGAATTAGTACGTCTATGAACGCTTTACTGATAAAGCGTAGTAATTAAGAGATCAGGCGAATGATAGGAGATGATAGGGGGGGGGTTGGAAGCGGTCTTGGAAGCTTCGTAGCTTCTCCGCTCTCTAGAACGCCTCTGCATGACCTTGCGTGACCTTGACGTCTATTTCTCGGCAGGCAGATAGGACAAGGCGACACTTTACTCGTTACGGAAGGCCAAGGGACCAAGACACCATGTACTACGTAGGTATGCTACTTAGTGCTGCCTCGGCTGGTCGTAGCGCACGATAGTGAGGGTTCAAATAGGATTGTTTCTGTTTCGTGATACAATACGTAAATGAGCTTGGACGGAGAAGATTAAAGATATATAACTTTTAAGCTGAATACTTATACATGTAGTTGAATCCCTCCGAATGAGCTACCTCCCTCCGTGGGTAAGGTAAAGGAAAACCGGGGGTGGTCGTTCTAACACTGCTTGGACATTTCGGTATTTAGGTTACTTTACTCCTCCTAATTTCTCTATTTTTGCTCTGTATTGTATGTATGTAGTGTACACGTCCGCTTCAAGCGTTGCTCAGTTCTAACGAGATATGCTGCTAATCCCGCGGTATACAGTTCCAGCTCTTACGGCCTTTCTAACAGCGAGCTTGACGATTCCGAACCCAAGTAAAATTTGGTCATGTATGTGCTTCTCTCCTGCGCTTGTCTTGGATCTTGGATATCCCTGCAATGATTTTCCAGCACCGTGTATCTCATGATCGATGCTGTGCTTGTTGGGAGTGCTAGGCCAAGCCCTTTAACAATTCCACGATTATTCTTACTGGTCCACACTAATGGCGGTGAGGATATACATTCGTATACCAGTTGAAAATCCTATTGGACATTCCGAGTGCCAAAATCAACTTAGTTATACCTGGGCGTCAAATACCTTCTTCCCACCGAACCAGGTTTGTAAAATTCTTGCCTCTAGCAGCTTACTCGCATCCCACTCCATATCTACTACCACAAAGTCCGCCATTCGTCCGGCCTCTAGTCTACCGGTATACTGGTCTGCGAAGCAGCTGTATGCCGAACCCTCCGTACCCGCTGCAATTGCTGCTGCCAGCTCCAACGCGAAATGCGGGTTAACCCGGTCCGTTAAACTTGGCTCTCTGGCTGAGCGCCGCGTTGTTGCCGTGTACGCATTTTTCAGCGGTGCGTGAGGTGCGGTGGGAGAATCGGATCCTAACGCTAGTACGGCACCCCCGTCGGCGAATTCTTTATATGCGAATGCGCGTTCATACCGGGATGGGCCGAGGAGTGACGGCCACGCTCGGAGGATCGCCGGATCGGCGTGTACCGGCTGGATAGAAGCCGTAATACCCAACTTTCCTAACCTCCTAGCGTCTTCAGGCGATGCAAGCTCGAGATGCTCGATCCGATGCCTACGGCCGGGCGTAGCATTTTGCTCGAGAGCGTCAATGGCAACTCTTATGGTCTTGTCGCCAATCGCGTGCAAGGCACACTGCAAGCCTGCCCTATCTGCTTTTCTGACGACGGGCCCAAGCTCTGCAAGCGACCAGATGGGCTCACACGATATTCCATTTGAGGTATAGGGTTCTGAGAGTCCGGCAGTGCAACCGTCTATAATACCGTCCCCGATGACCTTAATACCTACAATACGACAATCTGGACTATTGTCGGCGTTAAACTGGCGGTTGAGCTCGATTGCGCGGTCAACCTGAGCGAGGTTCTCAGCCTCTGTCTTCCGAGGAGTGACGAGCCAGTGAATAGCTATCCTAATTGGTAGCCTCTCTCTCTCGCGTAGTATCTGTAAAGCTTCCCACGCATTTTCATCCATCGCCATCTCCACGAGTCCAGTGTAACCAGACGCATTATACGCCTCGACAGCCCCTTTCAATGCTGATAGCTTCTCCTCCATCGGCGCGACTTTTGCGATATGCGGCCAGACAATCGTGACGGCTGCCGCTTCCGATAAGAGCCCTGATGCTTTGCCATTCTCGTCGCGGTGAATTTTCCCACCTTCTGGGTCGGACATGTCTTGGACACCCATCTCGCTCAGGGCTGCACTGTTACACCATGTCGAGTGTAGATCCTTGGAATCGATGAAGCTATTTAATAACGTGAGTTAATAATTACGTATTTTTGAGAGCGAGCCTAAGAGGAATTTCTCGGGCGTAGGTAATAACTCTGAGGTAAGTCGAAAAGGGGGAAAGAGTCTCTTAGCATCACATACATAGGCCTCGGATCTAGATCGTCTATCATGCTAGAAAATGCCTCCCCATTAGTCATGGAGTGCATCCACCCTTTACACATTATACGAGCCGCGGACGGATGCGTAGCAGCGAACTCCTTAATCGTCCGTCGGATGTCTTGTAGATCCTTGCACGCCTCCAAACCTGCCTTTTGTAGAGACTGCCCTAGCATTAGGAAGTGCATATGCCCGTCGATAAACCCCGGCAAGACTATACGACCATTAACATTCTGTTTGGCTATGCCGGTAGCCTCGGCCGCCGAAACATTCTCATCATTTCTGCTGCCGACGTGAGTGATTTTGCCCGACTCGTTAACGAGCATGGCATCTACGAAGGAATAGCCGTTACTCTTGGGCTCAGACTGAAAAAAACGGCCATTGTGAAATAAAGTGGCCATGGTATCAAATTTCTATAACGAACGAATAGTTGGGTCTCCGTATCTGCCAAAATATCTACCTGTTACTTGATTATTCGTATAACTACCTTAGGTAATTACGAACCTAATTGAAGTTGTATGCTGTGAGAATCCCCCACTCTAGTTCGAGGCCGCGATCGGCCACCCATGGAGAAGCTTAAGACTTCTCTATTCGCTCTAGTATAAAATAATCGAGTGTGATTTAAATACACCCAAGTCATCCAAAGGTTAAATTTACCACGCACGTTTTTATGAAGGCGTACGCCTTTATTTCGATATCTCCCAAGCCAACCCTACTGTCACTTCTCAAAATAAAATGCTTCATATATTGTACTACCCTTCGACAACTATTCTATCATTTTGATTTTCAATACTCAAAGCCCCAATAGCAATCATTCATTGTCGTTATCGTTTTGGACATTGTATCCTATTCTCCAAAGTTACCGTTCCATCTAATTTTCAAGCAATCTGAACAATCTTCCCTTGACACAAAGTACCCAATGATTTTTATTCCTCATAATATAGCCATTACAAGACGAAAAGTCCTACGGATGTCATTCGTAGGTCCTTATTCACTGGCATTCTCCGTAGGCCGATTGGCAACCCTCTGCGTCGAGGCAGTGAGCAGTAGTGTTTCCGCAGTAGCCCCTGAGATGCGGCTTGTTAGCAAATTATGTATTCTCGAACCAGTAACTTGTAAGAGACCTAATACGACTTACGCGACAGAGCAGCAAGATCCTCCCTCAGTAGGGCACCGGTAACCGTACTGGCCAGCCCCTTCGGATCCGCAAGTGCCATCGGGCGAAATTGTCTTACCATCGACGGGATCGACACAAGCGGCTGTCGCGTTGGAATATTTGCTCTGACACCCTACAGTCTTCAGGCAGTATTCATCCGTTGCGCCACAGTAGCCATTGGAGGAGCAGCACTTCTTCTCCCCGGGACATGTGTAGCCTTTTTTATTGCCGGCCTTATCAACGCCACATGTCTCATCCGGTGATACTTCCGACCACACGGCCGTGGCGGCTAGTAGTATGGTTAAAAGAGCTGCTTTGGTGCCGAACATGTTAACGATGGTAAATAGATTGATTAGTTGATAAGTTGTAGCTTTTCTATAATTTTCTAATGTGTTCCGGGTGACGACTTGATCCTATATTTCTTATACGCGGATTCATTCTCTCAGCTCCTTAGATATCTCATCTTGTCGGCAGGATCTCCGTATGAGATAGACCTGGACCGCGAACGCGTGTACGCACCCCCCGAGAGAAAGACCCAAATGGATAGAATATAGATGCCAAAATTACCTATCGTCTCGGTACTCTAGGGTGCGTTGCAGATCTTCAGGGTCAGTTCCCGTAATAGAAACCCGGCTGCGTATTGTATGATTTAGCCGAACTCCCCTTAATTCTGGCTACCTCGGGGTGCAACCAATTGAGCGGCCTAGAACGAACGGCAAGTGTCCGCGGCCACGACCGGTGCGGCTCTCCATCTCATTAAATATTCTCCTGGAGACTGTCGGAGTCTTAGGGCCAATTTGGATCACGCCATCCTCCGAGGGACTGGAACCTCTACGTCGCATCCGGACGCCGGTCTCGTTCACTTAGGCAGAACGCACTTAGGTAACGCAAAGACCATTATTTGACAAGTCATATAGACAGTACCTTAATATTGAATGAAATCTCAGTTCTCCGGTTTGTAAAGTTTTCTAAACTTAGAAGTTTGGAGGTCTCTCTCCTCCCCATCGTATCCGTAATTACACCGCGAAAATCACAACACGGTAATCATTTGTCGATATGTATTCTGGTAATGTATAATTACTAATATAAAAGCTCGTAAATAAGTTAGCAATAAACCTGACTATAGGCGGTACTCGCTTCGAGGTGACTGCTACGCCGTGCCAACACTGCTCTGGTTGGAGCCTGGGAGACCCAAGAAGATTTTCTAGAAGGGGATATCCAAAAGGTGATGATAGTGTTAAACAACCATTGATGAGGACCATTGTGGCTCTTCCCCTGTTCACAGTCTTAATCATATCGGGTCTCCCCACGAGTATCCATCTACTTTTTCTTTATATAATACAAGAACAACTATGGATAGGTACATTACCGCACCAAGGTGGGACCCGGACATGATATCAGGGATCGTGTCTCTTTATACGACTATTGTAAATTTTGAATATAATTATGACATATATACCTATCTTAGAACGTCGTGACCTTGTCCCGCCAAATATTATGTATTTGCATGATCCCGTAAATTTCACAACAATTACCAAATCAGGTGATGGCCTTGTAGGAGATATTGATTCCGTATCTCGTCCAAAGATGTTCACCAAATTAGGACTATTTCTAATCGTTAGCATCATCCCTGGGATCATGCCCGGCTCCCGCCCTGGCGCACTAACGTACCTTTCTAATCAGTTCTTTAATATTAATTACTGTACAACACTATATATAGTAGGTGCAATTGACCAAGGTATAGCATTTCCACGAGAATCTTGAGGGTCTGTTCACTTAGCATCGCATATTAAGTTGTCATAAACCCCCTGGGGGATGCTCGTGGACGGAAACAGAGGTTCAATTCGTAGAATTTGCTGGGGCTAAATTCTTTCGACGTTTCTCCTTAATACCTAGACCCCATTCGTGTGCTGCCTGTGCGATTTCTAGAGCCGCTATCTCGATCTGCTTTGCTCGGGCAACCGCATCTTCTTTTCCGTTCCCCCTTTTCGACTTTACTATCTTGTCTACTAGCTCGAGTACCTCTAGATGGATTGGATTTGAGGCGAAGGATCTCTTAATCTGACTAGGTGTTGGCGTTCTAGAAGGCTGATTCCGTCCAGATGATATCTGCGCGTCGCACTGTCGTCCATCGTACAGACAGTTGCTGCATATTGACCTAAGCCCACTAAGGCTCTCTAGGGGTTCCTTAACTTCTTCGTCGGGATCCATAACAATGCATCCGGGCGATATCCCCTGACGTTTCTGGCAATGTGTGCATTGGAACTGTCGAGAAAGCATCATGCCCCTCTCGTATAGCATGATAGCTTCAACTATCCGCGCCGATCCTAGGTCGGGACGTTCTCGGCTATTAAGACGCCTCCACGCTCTTCGAATTGGAAGCCTCCCAAACCGGCGAATGTCGGGCGTCTTAGCGAATCCCGACGGAGGCAAGCAAACTGGATCGTAGACGTAATCCCAAACAGCAGGTGCCTTCGTTGCTTCGGTGAGATCTTGTTCGATAATATCCATAGCTTCCCAATATCTATCCCTCATCTCGTAACCCTCTATGCTCTCTGACCGTCGTCTACGCCGCCTCCGTAAATATCTCGCGGGAAAGTCTGCATATGCGTGCTCGTCTTGAGTTTCTGGTTGTGGCTTGAATTCAGACGGAGGATCGAGAACATGCCTCTCCGGGAACGTATCGTCGACGTCAGGATCGTTAAGCGTCATACGAGCCATGTTACACTCATAAGCCATGTTGAATATCCCACTAAAGATAGAATAAGAGGATGAAAAGCGTCAGGGCGACCGCAAGTATTAATGGCGCGGGAGGTAAAAACTGGACCAGTCGAGGAGTACGCACCATATTTTGGTACTACATAGTTAAATGTCGTAGCTATTCGCAGCTTATCTTAGTTGATGGATCCTTAATTTTGACTATGTAAGTATTAGGTAGCTGCTGGACCTTCGTCAACCGAACTCGGTCTGTCAGATGCCCCCTGTAAGGATTGACGCCACTCGCCTGCGTTCGATTTGTACTTCTCGTGGCCTTGGCGAATTAGCCTCGGGATATTTCCAATCGGGAATTCGTACTATTTACATAATTTTTGAAAATTGTCGATATGCTTTAGGTACCTTTGTTTATGGTTTAGAGTCTAGAGGCGAGCATTGACCTCAGTACCAATACTATCCAGCTCCGCCGACACCTCTTCACGGTAGAATACGTCGAGTATGCGTGCAGTAGGGGAAGCATCGCTAGTATTGGAGTAAGCGAAACCCCCACGATGAGGGCGGGAATAGCCATATGTGGGGAGCGAAGACTTTTGAAGTTGGAGAAGTTCTTGCAAGTTGGACGCTAGAAGATGGACATGGTAAAAGTATGGAGGTTAGCCTCTCTTGTGGAGTGAACCGGAGGCGTTCCGCTGCCACTTACATAGGATCTAGCCACCTTATACACCCGTATAGTCTTAGTCTTGGTGTAATTCCGTTAGCTCTGTGGAGATGTGGAGATGTGGAGTTGAGATCTCGGGGCTATTCATTCCCCATGACCTAACACCTGACAACTCGACTTTACAAGAGGGGAATAGCGGGCTCGGTGAGAGGAAGTCGCTCCGCAAGCTATAGAGAACCCCATACATTTTTCTGCCTGGGTCTACATAGATTTCATATAAATTTCCTTAACGTGGGGGGTTGTGGTTTGTGCTATCACCTATGTTTAATATAGAATACGGCATAGAGCGAACGAGGCTTATGCATCCCCGCGTCCTAAAAGGGAAGGTACAGGGGCTCAGTGGCCAATTAGAGACTCTAATTTAGAAAGAGTTTAAGAGTCTTTAGAAAGCCCAATCTAGTTTAGACGAGAAGAATAGAATTATTGAGAAGAATAGAATTATTCGCAAACTCGATTCGTCTTCGATTTCTTACAACTATCTACATACCATCCTCTTAACAGCATAGCCCATAAAATATCGCCTGTACACAACAATCCAATATCTATCTCACGACATATTTCTACATAGATAACCGTTTTCGAATTGGACTCCTTCTCCCTTTTGACCTAACCTATGGCTGTATGTCTACCTCGAGATTAAGTAGCACCAATAAAAGATAGTTAATCTGCTCGATGTCCTATTTAACTTATTTCCAAGTATACTTTCTAGGCCCATGTACTACCTACACGCCGTGTTATTCACTTGGGACGTACTTCAGTGGATTCTCTCTTACGCGAACAGCGTCCCCGAAGCTCACATTCTCTAACTGGGCATTCTGGAACCAGCAATACTTCCTGGCTTCATATATCTGCTTTCATGCTAGTATACGAGAAAAAGTGTGGGCACAAAGGTATCCCTAATGGTTGCGATATGGCTGCTAACCTCATTTTTCATCGCCGTATTCGGTTTTATACCCCAGACCGACATTACGCCAGATGGTATCCGTAGGGCACACTCTATCTACTTAACAATTTCGGGACTTATCGCCACGATCACGGCATATATATGCTATAGTATATCACCTAATCTCCCTCGATCGACTGACTAGCTCTCGGGGGTCGAACGTCTAATATTCATATCTCGCTTGGCAGAAGCCTCCGGATGGCCTCGCCCGGTGGAATACGAAAATAAGCCAAGTTCGAGATATGTTTTCTACGGTCTAAAACGAGCTATCTGTGATATATAAACATGAATATTGGTAAGTCCAGCCATTTGAAACATGTAACTGGGAGTTTGCTTTCCTAACCGTCTCTCATCTTGAAAGGCTTTGATATTTTTTTTTTATCTCGAGGATAGCTTCGGGGTTTGGTAACCTACGATACTTAACCAGTGTAGACACGCTTTTACGAACGACTGGCAATACCGGTGAAATACGGAAAGGCACAATAATAGCCATAGTCTGTGTATACCATACCTAATAAATCGGTGGGCATATAAAAACCATATTTGCTGACGTGACAGCAGTCTTTTTGGTGTATATTTTCCTGGTTCGGGGGGTTTTGTGCTGACCTAGCTAAAAGTCGAAATCGGATCATCCAATGTTCTTTATTCGTTGTCCTATTGACTAACATGTCGCCTTTATTATTAATGATTTATCCTCCCGTCATGCTTACACCTAAAACGGTAGCAAAGCTTCTCTTCGCGGCACCTATCTTTGGCCTCCTAACCGCCTCTTTCATCTTATCCGTTACTTTGACTTGGGTGTTGAACTGCGTACCGTGGAATCGACCAAATCGAGCGGCATGCATCGCAATCGCTACCAGTCGTATGAGCCTTGCCAATGATTACGCCCTCCCCGGACCCCAAGTGACTGCCGACCTAGAAAATATACACTCAAGCCAGACCCTGCTCGGTGGAGTGTTATGCTTCTGCGCGGGAGCCGCCACAATAACATGTACGTTACACATGTTACTAAAGCAAGCTAATTCGTGGATGTTAAGCCATAGAGGCGGCTAGGAGCCTCCACCTATGACTCAATGGGCCGTATAGACGTTGGACGACGAGTTTCGGGACAGAGATCACACATTCGAGTTTCCCGAGTAAGGTGTTGCATCGAAATCAGGACGATAATCTTAGGTGAGTATTATGGGATATTTGTTGCTGTTTCAACATGAGTTTAGCAGAATCGATACGAGAGATGGATCAGCAAAGCGATATTCCGTTCGAACTCGGACATAGCGCCATGGTTCCAAGAGCTATTTGCTAGGTAGACTTATACATCAATCGCACAAGATTTCAGGCTCGAGTACTTCTTGTCTATATTTTATAACTGACTCTGGATTCTGGTCTCATTATGAAATTACGCTTTATGATCCGCGGGCCATGCACCCCGTAGCCTTGAGGTTTGCGATCGTGTTTCTTGGTCAAGGCTTGCTTCTTGGTTTTAATACATAACTTAGGTCATGTCAGCTACTGGTCAATTATCAGAAGCTCTAAAATATCTGGCCACCGTAATGGGTGAAATGTGTCCTCTAGATCTATATACTGCGAGGTGACCATATGCAAAGTTTTTTTATTATTATTATTTCTTCTTAGATATGGATCACATTGGTAAGAGAGTGGCAAAGCAACCTTTATGTGGTTGTAGACGCGCCGATAGTTGAAATTGAAAATAGCGCTCGGAATTAGGTACGCATTTTAATACAATCTTACGGGCATCTTATATGATTGAAGTTGTTAATCATGCATAACGACGATATCATAATAGAAACAGACAGAGTAGTCCCGCTATGTGAGTTTATTAATCCAAGTACGATGTCATATAGTATCGGGACGATGGCTATCTCTAGAAAACCTCAAGAGATGGATACTTTCATTCATCGTTCTACTTAGTTTAACTACGGTTAGGTAGGCACTCATCGACATATTGGAGCAGCTAGATAGACGAGGTAAAAACTGGAACCGTAGGCCTGCCCTCGTACTCGCAAACGCAAGAATGGCAGTTGACGAGCGGAGTTGCGGGTAAACGCAGCAAATGCAACTGTGACAGCGTGGTATCATTTCTAGCAAGGTGCTAGGCGAGATAGACTCTTACCGTAAGTAACCCCCAATGCGCACCAAATGCGTGGACTCCGTGTTAATAGTATTCGGAAGAGCACTCTATATGTGCACTCCTAGTGTCTTTTACATCCTGCAAATTGTTAGAACGTGGCCTATAGTGCGATGTTGCGAGAAGCTTACCTCTGAAGAGGACTTAATCCGAGTAATCGCATGCAGTTTCCTACTACTATCCGAGCGGCATCATACAATGCCATACGAGCCGCCTTCAGCTCAGGATCGCTACCCACTACTTGCAAGTGGTCATAGCTACTGCTGATGACATGTGTGAGCCTGAAGAGGTATGTTACCACCGTAGTCGGCTCCAAGGTCCGCAGCGTGTTCTGGGCTACGTCCGGCCATTGGGCAAGTAGTCGGACTACGTTGACGGCATGAGGTTCTGTAAGGAGTGATAGATCCGCATTAGCTAACTCCTCGTCCGAGACGTTTGCTCGGCGCTTGATGGACGAAAGTCGAGTGTGCGCGTATTGCAGGTAAGGCCCGGTGTCTCCCTCGAAAGACGTCATCACCGCCAAATCGAAGGTATAATTATTACCCCTAGCCACCGATTTTGTTAGCTCCCGTCATACTAACGAGTCGACTCGATAACGTACCTCTTCCCGCTCATATCTTGCGTCATTACGCTGCTGATTCCGAGCGTATCAGCGGTGCATTCGGGATCTTCTACTTGGGTATATTTTGCTTCGTTTTTCCGCATGACTTCGTGCATGTGGTCGGCGCAGTCCCGTAAAATATCGTCCAAGCTGCGAAAATTATTGTTAGCTAGGCGTCAAGAAGCTGTGTTGAAGACGTACAATTTGACGGTTCCTTTTCGGGTACTCATGCCCAAGACCAGTCCGAAATTTATGTGCTGGCAGCGAGCTGCAACGTCCTTGTAGCCGAGGAGTTCGATGATCTTGAAGAGTTGCTGAAGATGAAGATCCTGCTGGCTAGCAACGACGTAGATCATATTATCAAACTTGTACTTCTCGTATCGACCTAGGAGCTCTGCAATATCTCGGGTGAGATATAAAGCAGTTCCATCCCTCTTCCTGACAACTGCCCGCCCGAGGCGCTTACCTTCCTTACCCGGTATGAGCTCTGTAAAGTCGACGAGCACGGCGCCCTGGTCTTCTCGGGTAATTCCCTTTTCGGCCATCTCCTTGGCTACTTTTTCCATCGCCTCTTCGGTGACCTGACTCTCGCCGCTATATTCGTCGAACTTGATGTTCAGCCTGGCGTACGTAGCTTTGTATCGGACAATGCTCAAATCTCTGAAACGCTTCCATAATGCGAGAGCTTCTTCGTCTCGGTCCGTCATCTTGCGGAAATACCTTCGAGCTTGCTCGTCCAAGCTGTTAGCCAAGAGTTCGGTAACATCTTGGCCTTCCTTCTTCTTGGCCTCGATGGTCGCCAACTCGTCTTCTTTTTCGGCATTTATACGAACGTAGAGTCGAAAAAGGTGGTCGATAGGGTCCTTTTTTAGTGCTTCCTCGTCTCCATACCTCTCGTAAGCCAGAGCTAAGAGACCGTACTGTTTACCCCAATCGCCGAGATAGTTGATCCTGACAACATCCCAGCCGGCACCCTCGTATAGGTTTGCTAGGAAACTTCCGATGATGGTGGAACGAAGATGTCCCGCATGGAATGGTTTAGCAATGTTGGGGGAACTAAACTCGACGACGATCCGCTTCTTTCCTTTGCTAGGGTCCTTGGGGTCTTTTAAGCCGAGAAAACGATTTCGTCCGTATTCCGCACCGAGGTTGCGGATCATAGGAATAAGAGACTGCGATAGAGGGGCGCCTTTGGCGAAGAAGGAGAGAAATGGGCCGGCAGCGACCGGTTTCTCGAAAAGAGGATCATCTTCGGGGAACTGCGGAGAGAAGTAGTTAGCAGAGTACGCGGATATATCTCCAAGCGACTCTTACCTTGGCTGCCCACTCGGCCCCCAATGCGTCTGGCTTTGCGCCCTTTATCCGGAGGGCGGGAATAGGTAAGGTGAAGTCTCCCTTGTCGAGGGCGTTTGTCCACTGGATTACGGAGTGAATCTTATCGGAGGCTACGCCTGTGATGGGGGCCAGGACTTCGCTGATATGTACTCGGTAGAAATCGTAAGGATTGACATTGGGATGCGTCGTGGGGTATTTCTCAGCGATGGACTCGAGTGTTAGGTTATCTAGCTTCAAGAGAGCCTCGTTTATTTTGCTGACCGAGGCCATAGTGCTAGCGGCGCGTCTCTGAAAGGCGAACAATCGTTGGCGATTGGATTTAGTAGAGTAGTGACTAAGAAGAGGAACAGTAGATAATTGTCGATGTCGAAGTGGCCAGACTATGCGAACAATGATAGTTCTAGTGTGGGGAGAGGTCATGAAGATGCGAGTTGGGATTTAGAACCTCAGTTATAACCTCAGTCGTAACCTCAGTCGTAACCTTAGTCGTAACTTCAGTTGAGAATTAAAAGTTTTAATTAGAAGTCTTGAACCCTAAAAGCTATGTATCGGCGCCTTCTGACTCATGTAAGAAATTGTTGTTTAACCCATTGGAATTTTCCCCTCTACCCCTCCCCCCACCTACGCGTCGCGCCTTTTCATTGGCTTTGCGCCGATGCAAAGCATATGTACCTAGGTACCTAAGTACATGTACCTTCATTGCTGCTTGTAGCAGTCAATCTCTTCAATTAACAACACATATAGGGTGTTAACTTATATCTTCCTTATATCTTCCTTATATCTTCTTTAGTAATCTAGAACGGCCCTGCTTCTCGCGCTTGATATCAGTGCTATTCACTTGATTGAGCTCCACGTCCTTAATCGTATAAATAAACCCCAAACACTCGGCCGACGTTCGGTCTGGCAAACCTTGTAGGATATCTTCGACATGGGACTGGAGGAGGCCGTCTCGACAAGAGCCCGAGGAAGCTTACTCGAAACAAAGATAGCTGCCAACCTCGTCGCCCATTCCTTGCCGGGGGGACGGCCAATCGCACAGCCGGCGCTCGAAATGAACATGACGATGCGTACAAATCACGGCCACCTATAGAACTACCTACCTAGCCGCTAGCCAGATCTCCCCGTCGCCGTCTAGCCGTTCTAGTTTTTCGGGGCCTATATACAACATTTAAGTTCCTGTACTTAAGGTAAGTAGGCTGAGCTATGGATTTCAACGTCCCTTATAATAGGGCTGGTTCCTGATGGTTAGTCTAGTCGTACTATAATGATACCTCTATTGCTACTGATTAATATGATAGCGGAAACCTTGATTCATACCTTTCATAAAACTTGCCATATACGGCATTGGATCTTGTTGCTTATCAGTGGGTATTAGGAGCCGTATCATAATCAAAAGATGACACCAGCGAGCCTGAGCCTCCTGAAAGCTTCCATCCATGAATGAGCCGGAAGCTGTTGTTCAAGGAAGCCGGTAGATCGGAGCTTATTAGCGCTAAGCTCTCTGTCGAAACTCAGCCAGTACCCGACGGTGTCAAGCTGTTTGCTGCCAGCACCAACTCCGGCCGTGACACCCTTTGGACGCTCATGTTCCTCGAAGAGATGCTTGTGCTTTGCGATGTATTCGCTCGGAGTGAGCGAGGAGTCCTCATTTCCAGAAGGTCCAACGCCTACCAGGCCGAACCAACCCGCAATCTCGGGCCACAGCTCGCGGAATGTTGTAGGGGTCGGGTCATCGAGCGCATTAATGATCTGTCCACCAAGCCGGTCTGGGTTGAGCGATGCGAAAATACTGATCCGTCCCAGAATGCGAGTAGAGACCTGGGTAAACCGGGCGTCGAAGCCAGCCTCGGTCCCAGGAAAGGAAATCTCTACCCTTTTCTCAGCGTTTGAGTCCGAGATGCCGTGGTTGAAGGCATATAACGAGAGATATTGCGCCCAGTGGAGTGCGAGCGAGTACCCAGAGCCTATCGGGCTGAAGCCAACGACGATATCAGGGCAGACTTCCGTCCAGGTCCACCCGCGGCCCTTTGCGGCCTCGGTGAGTATCTCCCTAAACCATGGATATGCGACAATTTTAGCGTAATCCTCGGGAAGCTGGCTGGCCATGTGCTCCTCGAGCGGAGTTTCGAAATTGATGTTGGGATCATAGATACCGTATCCCTTTGTCACATTAGTAGCAGTTCACAAACTTGTTCAATAAAGCGTACTTACCCGAGTGCCCCCCGAGTAAACGAAAGACTGAAGGCTGGGACAGAGCATATTTACGGCCTTTGCCACCTTTCGCATTATACCGCAATTCAATGCACACTCTTGTTCAAAATCATTTGAAAAAGAAGTAAAGACTGTCTTCAGTCAGCGATTAGAGCTACAACAAAACCGGTATGTAGATGCTACGAACCAAAGTAGAAGACATGAGTGACGCCCTGGATGTCTGGCACCCTCTTTTCTAGAGTAGCCGCGAGGTCTTCGCCAGTTCCGTTCAAGAGGTCAACTCCTGAGCATATCTGGAGTTCGGGTAAGCCCGGTAATGCCTCTGGCCAGTACGTATCTTCCGACTTGAGGGAACGATTGGTGACCGCGGTGACTCTGTTGAACACCCCCTGTTCAGGATAACCCGAGAGCAACTCGTTGACGACGCCCCAACCAATAAGGCCAGTACCCCCGAAAACAAGGCCGTGTCTATCCGACCTTGCCATCTTTCAGTCGATTTGAGTATTATCTCATAGCGAGAGGTGGGATGAATCGTGAGACTCTGACGGTGAGAGGTTCAAGTAAGAGAAATCTTGATGAATTCATAATGTCTACCTACCCTCAATTCCCAGCATCAAGGTCTCACTGTGTTAAGCTCGACTTAATAGCGGCAAATAGTAGAAGGCCGAGAGTTGAAGTTAGATGCTACAGTCCTTCGATAAAGTTCATAGGCATATATGCGAATGTGCATCATTCTAAGTCATTATGAATCATAATGGGTTAAATAAGAACCTGGATATAAACCGGCGCTATCTCGCACAACCTTACCTTTTCGGGTAATTACCAAGAGAAAGACGGCGCATTTAACAAATATCGTGAGCTCATATCAGTCGGCAGGTTCCAAAAGTAACTGTGTTACAGCCCTGCCTAGAGCAGTCGATTAATTGTCCCATCATCAGGCCTCAGGTACGGTTAAGTTTACGAAGGATTATTACCTATGTTGATGCTGTTTTTCGTAGCGAGGTGAGTTCCTATCCAACCACGCGAAAACCACTTGCAATTTTTAAAGCCATTCGCAATCACACTGCGCAGTTCGATCTCCATACCTATTAGCAGACGGGGATCCAAACATCTCGTGTTTTTCTAAGGCCTCACAAGCATTAAACATGGTTATAACCTCGGCCAGGGCCGCGCTCGGATAATAGATGAAATCGGATGAAAAGACTAAGCAAAGAGCAGCCTCCTTATACTAGGCGAACATAGTATTAATAGCTTCTAATAGTTCAGCCCTACTTGATTTATAAATGCGGCAAGTATCTACCTAGGCGTAGTCGAGGCTCTCTTCTAACGTAACGCGACTCGACATGCAGCCTCGATTTTTTCATTCCGTCTTTTTGTAAAGCCCTGTCTCGGTCACTCATATCATTGAATGTGACCTCACCCTCACCCCGGTATAGGATGAAATCGCGTAGGCCGGAACATACCTGACAAACTCTTCGAAATCCAAGGTTCGGCAGTTAAGTAACCTCATGGCCAGATGGGATTATCATACTAAGAACTGGGTTTGCGTAGGATAGTTAGTCGTGAGAATGTCTTGAAGAAGATGTATAGATATAACTGCCATAATTAATATGCCTTACAGCTTTCCGTAGAGGCTGTATCTATATAGTGGCATTGGGTGTAGTTATGCTCGCAGCAGAGACACAACTGCGTCTTGGTGCGGGTGACAACTTACGCGTATGAGCGAAAGAAGTTAAACTTGAGAAGTACTGTACTGCACTTTCGATTGTCATGTTTAATCTTTATACGATATGAAGCCTGATTGGTTTAACTATAAGGGGGTTCGTAGAACGCGTACCAACCCTTGGCTAAATTCTCCATCAGATAAAGGATCACATTAGGAAGATGGAAGCTTGTGACGAAATAAAACCTTCTGACCTAATCTAAAGACCGTAGTGCAGAGAGATATATCAGAAATCATCTTTACATGGCCTCATACCTTTTATTTTTCTTTACCTAGCATAAGGTGACTTGGTAACTTGTGAGTTGTCAGGATAAGATGTATACACCTAAGGTACAGTACAGATCACTTATTAGGCTAAGCCTGTCGGTACGTGCACGGTCCATTTCCCAATAAGTATAGCATATAGACTTCTGAAGCTTGTGTTTCAAAGTACTTCTTCTATAGTCAAGATAGCCCCTTTTCTATAAGTACCTAATAACAATTAAAACCTCGGGTCCCAACGTCAGTTCCCAGCCAGCAACTTCTTCGTCATTCCAGTGATAAAAAGTCGCGGTTCCACCATTCTGTAGCCGCGCCACTTCAAGTCTCTTGAAAGCTTTCAGAAAGCTTCTAAATACACTCATCAAGTCATCACTCGCCTCAAACCTCGAGCTATCCCCATCTCTAAAGCTACCGCGCCATCAATTTTTCGTTCTCTTCGCAGCTTCGCATCTACTCCATCCCCATGATGTCGAGCATCCTTACCAATATATTCGCCAAGTCGTCACCCGCGCCCAGATCGGTAAACGGCGACAAGGAATCGCGTGGCACTAAGCGAAAAGCTAAGAGCGACCCTTACGATGAGATAGACGATGGTAAGAAGATTATAAGAGGACAGCGATACAGCAATCGCTTATGCAGGGGCTTTACTCTTTGTCTATCATAGCCGTTAACCAAAGCAAACAGACGAACCGGTTCAAAAGACGCCTTCGACTCAGCGCACTCGATCGCGCATTTCTTCGGAAGCACCAAACTCTAGCACAAAGGGACGGCCGCTATCGGCAGGCAAGACTAATAGTACGTCTAGAAGGTCAGCTATTAGGTATCTATCGGATCGTAGCTGATATGTATTACAGAGCGTCGAAACCGTTCGTCCGGTGCTCGAAGAGGCGAAGTAACAGATAGTCCACGTGTCGACGCTGCAGCAAATTTAGCTCGCGCACAGGAGCCCGAAGCGGCACGATTACATCCTCAACCTGAAGAAGAGTCTAGTAAAAACTCACTCGTCCCGGTGGCTGATATGGGCGTCCCTGGTATGCACGCAATTTTTGCATCTTCGCCGTATGACACGTCTGAGTTCTAAGCTGATGATTCCTACGCCTTGTAGAGCCTTCCAACGACAATCCCGAGCCTGCTGATAACGACCACGCCGGAAATGATACAAAGGGTAAAGAGAAGGCAACGGGAGTGAGTCGGACGGAGCAGACGCTACCCGACGCCGACGAACGTGAAGAGAAGGAAATTCAGGCCCTTCTTCGGCACCGAATGGCCCAGGACGGTAGCGTCGAGCTCCTCGTCCATTGGGTTGGAGAGAGCGAGGATGATGCTACTTGGGAGATGGAGGAAGAAATTCAACGAGGCGCAGAAGAGACGCTATACGCATACTGGAAAGCCCAAGGCGGTCGCATCAATGCCCTCTTCATTAAACCTAAAAACGCTCCCATCGAGACCTACCACGTTTATAAGCTGCTCGGGCACGAAAAGAAAGTTAGAGGCGGGTTCGAATTCGAAGTCCAATGGGTCGGCCATCCGCCCACGCGGGGCGAGACATCATTCGAAGCCGAAGCCAAGCTGAAAAAGATTGCCCCGGAGATTCTGGATCAATACTGGAAGGATATCGGCGGTCGCGAGAAGTTCCTTGCTAGGCGCGGCCGGGACAAGAAGCAGCGTACCGAGTAACCGCGTTTTCTTGGACGAAGCTGACCTATCTACTATTATTATCTGTACATACATACGTACTCTTTCTTATTTCGTCTCGCGAGCATTCATAATGCCCAGCATTGCATCACACACGGCGTTAAGGATGGATCGTGATGTGGTATGTCATCAAGTTTCAGGATAGGGACAAACATTTGAGGTGCTTGGAAGATACTGGGGTTTTCTTCGCATCGAGCTCAGTCATCGCGGTCTTCTAGCTTAGGTGATGCGGATAGACACATACTTTACCTTTTATCATATAGGTATTTAGATAATACGATGAGCTGGGCTATCCACTTGGTTGATTTAACCCCTTTCATTACTCATTAATTATAATTAACGCGTAGTTAAACAAAATAATTAGGATTGGGCTGCTTCTCTAATGACAAGTAGTTGGTGTAAGATAGCCGGTTCGCCAGTATCTTCACTTCACAAGTAATAAGTTCGCTAGTCAGTAGTTAGGTGTCCTTCAGCAAAAATATAGCACACGCACCATGTCGTGCAAGAATTTCTATGTCGCTCAGTTTGATCACCTACTGGGTCAATTCTCACGATGGAAATAACAGCACGCGTTAACTGCCTGCTGCGCCACACAGCCCCGGGTCGTATATTCTACCCCTTAATACTGCTTCGCCGTGGTAGTCGGTCGCCCGAGGAGGCCGAGCGGGCCGAGCCCGTCATGACATACGATATAGATAGGTGCTCGGTGAGAGTCTAAACTGAAGCTTTCATACGTGTCTTTAATATCTCGCCATCGACATTTAAACTGTTTCAGCTCTACAGTAGATATTTCGACCATCATCCTTTCAGATATCCATATCCCCCGCCGCACCTGTCACGACATTCCGCTTGCGAAGTACTATGTCGGAGGTGTTGGCTTTCGTTATTAGGATAACCTTGTCCTAAACTCGGTAGGCCACGATGAGCGAGGTAAAGGAGAATGACCAGCTGCCGAGCATAAAACACGAGGCAAAGGTCATCAGACCCCTCGGATATTTGTAGGTATAACTACTACCATACTATTCAGTCTCGGGACTAGTTCTAATAGAAATATCATCACAGAGAACGCTTCGAGGCAGCCATGCTCTCGCTGGACCTTTACCGGAGCTCTATGCTCACATGCAGGTTTGCGGTACCTGCAACCCTCCTTCCCGCAGAATCGCATGCGAAATTACAGCAGACGGTTGAGTCGGCTGTCGCCCGGATCCTGCTAGAACATCCTCTTCTACGCGTTGGTCTACGAGGTGAACACAATCGCAAGCCCGCTTTCGTCGAGCTAGATGCGGTCGACTTTTCCCGTCACATCGAATGGCGCCATCTCGACATCGGCAAGGATTATGACACCGAACTCGAAGCTCTTATCAAGAGCCGTCTCAATATCAAGGTGGAACAACCCGAGACAGCACCAGCATGGCGTATCCTTATGTTAAGCATCGAGGGCGGGAGATTCATCGATGTCATGTGGGAATGGGGTCACTCGCACACTGACGGTATTAGCGCAAAGACATTTCACGAAGATATGCTGCGGCATCTAAATGGCCATAATGATAATTCGGTGCCCGAAGGATTTAACCCGGAAACTCGTATTCTCACGATACCCCTTGCCCGGCGAAGAGATCTACTACCATCACTTCACTCATTATGCGACTTCCCCGTCGGGTTAGGTTTCACGCTGGCCACGCTTTGGAATGAGTTCAAGCCGGCAGTGCTGCAGGCTAAATCCGAAGCGGGCTTGCGCGCAACCTGGGCGCCCATCTGGCCTGGGCGTTACGCGTCGGAGTACCGACACTTCGGCATATCTCCTATCGCTCTAAAAAATATCATAGCAGCATGCCGCGTTCAAGGTACCACTCTGACAGGACTAGCACAGGCACTCGCACATACCAGTCTCGCATGCAGATTATCGGACGAGCAAGCGCGCGCGTTCCGGGGGTCTACAATCGTAAATTGGCGCCCGCTCATGAAGCGAGCATTGAATGAGAAGGCAAAGGCTGATGTAAGAGACGTTATGGTGGACGGTTAGGACATTTGTGCCAAAATCGAAAAAGCCGGTGGCACTATGTCTAATACGGTAATAGTAACGCTAGGGGTATAGTATAAACTCGACTATTTGCCCTGTGTACACAATTTACAAGGTAATACATATATTCTTTTTACCTTATACTATAATAACCTAACGAATATTTATTTAAATCTTTTTTAAAAAATACTATTATTTCAATTAAAAAATAATAAAAATTACGGCTTAAATTACATGTAATTTAAATTAAAATTGGTAAAAATATTAAAAAATTATGTAATTTTATATATAAAATTTTATCAAAACGGCCGCTCGCAAGCTCGCGGGCCGTTTTTACGTGCGCGCAAGCGCGCACGTGAAATTTTTCCGAAGGCGCGATCGCGCTCCGCGCGCGCGCATCCTTATCAATTACCGCGTATTTTTTACGTAATTACCTTATCATTTACCTTATCAATTACCTTATTAATTTCCAAAGTTTAAACGTATAATTCCTTTGGAAAGATAATTATATAAACTTTATTATTCGGGCCATTTTTATTATTAATTTTTAACATTAATTAATTAATTATTAATTTAATTTTTAATTATTTTATATAATTATTTTATATATAATATAATACATTTAAATAATTTTATAAAAATAATAATATAAACGTTATAATTAATATTATTTTATAACTTTAATTAATGTAAAAACAATAATTTAAATTACATTTAAATTAACTTTTTAATTATTATATTATAATAAAATTAAATAACGTTTATTTAAAAAAGTAAACACGTGATATTTTTTAAAAACATTTTAATAAAATCATTTTAAATAAACTTTAAATATTTTAATAATAATATAATATTTAATATATATTATATAAACATATAATTTAATTTATTATTTTTACATTAATTAAAATTATAAAATAATATTAATTATAACGTTTAAATTATTATTTTTAAAAAGTTATTTAAATGTATTATATATTATATATTATATATAATGTATATAAAATAATTAAAAATTAAATTAACAATTAAATCTTTTAATTTAATTGGCCGAATTATGTTTATCTAATATAAAATAATGAAAAAATTATATATTTTACTTTGTATATACCCCGCATAGTATACTGTGCACCTGTTATATTACCCTTTTTGGAAAGCCCCGACCCATTTTCCTGATTTTGGCACAAATGTCCTAACCGTCCACCATAGACGTGGATCTCGTGCGGACTATGGGGAATTTTATGACGACGGTAGATCATGTGTTCGATGAAGAATGGGTTACGAAGATCAGGGCGGCGAGTGTTATTAACGATTCTTCTCAGCGAGGGCTTAATCATTCGGAAGGCAAGAGAGGTGAAACCGAAGAGAATTTCAAGGATCAAGAAGTGGTCGAGCGCCGTATGCTCGCCCTCGAATCTTTAATATGGCCTGTCGCGAAAACGGTGCGTGTCGACTTGGTAAAGAGACTAGACGAGGGAACCAAGAACGACCAGATGGGTCTGATGAAGTTCATCCCTGACTTTCGCGCGTTGCTGAAGGAACGGCTGGAGAAGCCCAGATCCCACTCAGTCGCCGTGTCTAATATAGGAGTTATCAATGGTAAAGCCCCTTCGTCTTTAAACGGCGTCGAAAATCCTGTAGAAGGCGCCTCAGATGCTTTTACGGGGGCAAATGCCAAGTGGTCTATCGATCGGTCTATATTCTCCATCAGCTCCGAAGTTCATGGCGCAGCGTTCGGAGTTTGCCTTGTCGCGGCGAAAGATGGAGAACTATATGTGTCATGCGACTGGCAGGAGAGTGCCGTATCCACGGAGCTGGGGGGAGGGTTAACGGCGGATTTGGAGTCGTGGCTAAAGTTCTTCGGACGGGATCAGGCGTAATGAGTGTTGCTCGTTTGTTCCACGGTCTTTATCTTGCAATAATCACTATTAACTCCGTGAAGCCTATGCGCTAATAGAGTGAAAGGAGATCTTAGAATTCGCGGCCACTAGACTTTAGGAGACCACGAGGTGTTATTTAGAAATTAGGGTATCCGATAATATTGCTCCAGGGTGGCAAGGAGTTGGAGAAGCCATGAGTTTTGCTGGCGAAACTTCCCAATTAAATATGTTGAAAACAAAAGCCGATAGCTTGGGTCTTAGATCAAACATCCTCTTGGTCTCTCATCATTAACATCTCTTTCGACAGTACCCAGTAACGGACTCCCTAGTAAGAGGTAGGGTAATGTGTACGTAAGTGGAACTGTATCATATTTAAAGAATTTCTCATGCTTCCCTGTCTATGTCAAGTTTCCATATAGCGCAGCGTTGTAAACACAAGGCTTGATATTGTCTGCTGCTGAATATATAACTTGTTTGCTACCCGGTCATATATTCATCCTACCCTGAAAACTTGATTGGCCCCGAAGCCAAGGCATACCCTGATGTAGATAACGCCCACCTCGGACTTGGGAATTCTTGTAGACCTCTATGATACTTTGAGAAGCAAAGCTAGGCCTGCTGACCAAAGACCCCGGCAGATATCATTGTATGATGTAAGATATAAGTACAAGCTGCTATATCACACACATACACACATACACAGCCTGCTTAATCCCGCTTCTTCCTTCGCATGCCTATGCATCATCCCACGGTACAGTTCAAATCACACGTAAACGTTATCAAATATTGGAGGGATATATTACGTCAAAAACTTGACTTAATTTAATACTATCAACCCTATTGTCTTGCTCATGGTTTCTCAGGTATCACTGACGGTTCTTGTCAGACATTTACAATATCCTCCTGTTCAAACAAACTGGAACTCCTAGTTGACTCGTAAGCTATGCTGGAATTTCCTGCACTGAGTTGCGATAAGGCGAGATGACATACGCATTCACGAAATACGATTGATACCGACAACGTGGGAGGACTACGACACTAATTTGGGGTATCACATTACGTCCCGACGGAATCCGCCTTACAAATGCCACACCAGTCGCACAACCTGCGGGATAGCCTGCTTAAACCCTGGAAGATTATGTAGATTCTAGAACTCGTAGAATGGAGAACAGAGTAATTCGTCGGTGGCAAGGAGTTTCCAAGAGTCGCGAACCACGGATGGCGAATAATAGAAGATTAGGGGATCTTCGATGTAACCGTAACGCATTGCAGCTATCTGTCGTGCAGCCCACCCGAACCATTACACAGCCAGCTTATGTACATCCTACACTGGGTCCCGGGTGTGGGAGCTCGAATGAAAATTAGCTCAGACCGTGGGAGGCACACCCTAACTGTCATGGGAACCGCACGATTAAAGCCGTTGCCAATCAAGCCACTACGCAGAGAGGATATACGATGTCAAGGGTAAATCAAGAAGAGACCCTTCGCCATAGAATTTGTATCGTATAGGAATGTCTATAAGAGGTAGAGAGCCACTTAAAAGTCTTTGATTTCTAGAAGAGTAAAGAGTCTTGTTATGTATTACCAAAAGGAAAGAGGTTGGATACAAAGAGATCCCTGATCAATAGGCTGACAACAACGCACAAACCTCGCAAATTGTCGGGCTAGTTATTAAGTAAAGAAGCAACTAACTGATTCTTTGAAGCTTATCACATAAACGTCCAGTTTATATCCAGCCATGTAATTTCTTTTGCGCGACTTGTGCGTGGTATACCATACTATGTAGGCGTGCGTCATCTGATTGGAAACTAGCTGATTGGGAACTCGTGGTCCATGTCTTTAGGAGATAAATCAAGCCAGCTAAAAGTTAGCTTCCGTATTAGGATTATTGGAAGACTGGGTTGGGGGTTGTAGTGGTGTGGTGAGACAGGGCGACATCGCGCTGAAAAGGCGCAAACCCCGCACAAACGGCGCATCCTCAGTTTGCATTCCTTTTTGCATTCCATGATTGGCCACCTATCTCTATGCTTGCCCTGATTCGGAATATCCACAGACCCACATCCCGAACACTTATCTACAATATAAAAGGTCCGCTACATGTCCCTCTTCTCTATCAACTTTCCAACTACACGCACGCATATATTTACGATCAGATCAAGATCAAGATCAAGCTTACCTAAACCAATAATATCAACGAGCCTATTTCAGCACCTTACAAACCAACTACCATTCAAAATGAAGGGCGACTGTGGCTGTGCTGACAACTGTAAGTCATCCATATGATCTTATCTAACCCCGCTATCCCAACTACTTTCCTTTCTAAATAGCAATGCTGACTTTATTCTTCAACAGGCGAATGCGGCTCCAGCTGCTCTTGCGGCAAATAAGCGACCATCCATCATCCACAGATGAGTTGAGTCTGCTACTTCGCCCGTTTCCACTTCACTCTTCAACAACAGCGCCAAACCACTAGGCGTTTTCGATACTACCTTTAATCTCTCGATGGGTTATAACTTTGAGAGGATTCTTGGGTGATTTGAGGAGTTGGTTTATCAAAGAACGATGGGAGAAGGTTTTTTGTAGCTACCGACTAGCCAATCCTTTACTCGGAATACTACCTTTTCTGTGGCATGATTTATTTATATCATACGTGAGAGCAAACATGGTGATTGGCTATCTAAGATTGCTTCTACTATTTGAAGTATACTAAATACGTCTTTCATCTTGAAATGATGAAGACCTATCTAGATACATCTATCGATTGCTTGAATCTTCTACCCTATCATTTCTATGACATACGTATCCCGTCTCCGCGTGCTCGTAGTTGAAACCTGCAAAATAATTCTCGTGATTTCAAGTGAACCCTAGTTCGTTACCATCCCAAGCTTGGCTCTCTGACGTAGACCCAGTGAGAATTAATACCGCAGCATCTCAGACCAATGACGCCAATTCCCTCGTGGCAATAATTTTCCGCAATTTCATATCCAACAACGAGGCTTCTCAAACACTAAAAAGGGTAACAAGCTAGGATACGAGGTACTACAGAGTAGCCAGAGAGTATTCGAAACCTTTAATATCAAGACCACATATTATCGAGAAGGTAAAGGTTAAACTAAACTACCCACCGGCATGAGAAGTACACAGGTGAGAATAATAGCTGTATGGGATAAAGAGCTGGGGAGCACGAACATATATAACTATCAACATAGGTCAATCCTCACTTAAATAAGAAATTGATCAATGGTCCTAAGGAGTTAAGTGTAGACGATACTCGTAATACATGCCACTTGAGGGATGATATAAGACAATCTCCAAAAAAATACGCAGCAACAGCCTGGTCAATAACTTTAAAACTTGCGGCATCTTAGGAATCTGCTAAGATTCCGAGTATGATGTCTATAACAAAGGATGCCTTCAGTGTGTATAGCTAGAGCTTTTGTAGTTTATGTAAGGTTATCGTCTCCTAACAGGCTGAGCTTACATATTACTTCTTGAATATCATCTATTGCCTATTTATACATTGGTTTAGGTTACTGGAGAAACATCCATACTTACATACGGGGAAAACGACGGCAAGGTTGGCTTGTAACGTAGTTCGTATTACGAGTATAATTATTTAAAAAAAAAATAGAGTAAAATATTAAGATATAAATATGGCTCCGAATGTAGAAAAGGAGAATAGCTCGGCAAGATAACATAGCTACTATTAAATTTGTTTTGTATTGTTACCTATATTGGAAGAAGGTCTACTTGAGCAAGATGAAGTCGATAGGTTTACTAGTATTATCATCACGAGTTGAACCCCAACCCCTTTCTTATTCATACCGAACCATGTTTAATTTTCAAGCCCATTTGCGGCATCTTTTCTGACGTATTTCTCATATATCTTCTGCCTCGGTATTATTCTACATTACGCAATTCTTAACTTTGATGCCTCTTTATACGTCAGGTTTCTCACTTTGTTGGTTGGCGTATCTTGGACTTATGTACCATCTTTCGCTTCTGCGTGGCTACCTCCTAGACGCGTCGCGACCATACAGACGCGAAAGCAAATCGCGTTCCTACCTTGCCCTAACACTCAAGCAGCTGATCAGCACTCGTCTCTTTTCTATGTCTTCTCCCGCAACAAATTCCCCATTAATTTTTCTTTCCTTTCCTCTGCAAAATCCTGTCGTATTTGCGCAATCCCCTTTCTGTTCAAGGTAAGTCTATCCGATTTCAGTGTTCAACCTATCTTTAACTATCCAGTCTCTGTTCTCTTTATTCGCACAAACCATTTCGCAATAAAACATCCATTCAGTTTCCCTCTGCACGGTTTCGTGCGCGAATGCAACAGCTGAAGAAGCTGCCTGCTTTTTCCTGTGTTCCTAACAGCAGCACCTCCATCGATGCGATCAACTATTCCTTAACCCTTCACTCTACAACGCAGTCCCCTACTCACCGCAATGGACAAGAAGCCTTTGCAGCTACCTACATTCCATCCATTTGACTCTTCTTTATTAGCATTTCAGTGGGGTTCTCCTACAGGAATACAAGCTAGGTCTTGGCTAACTATTGCTACTATAGGGGTTTTGACTAGGTTGTCTACGCGTTAGGCATTCAAGTCAGCATTTACTGCTTAGACCTGCCGGCGTCATTTCCCCGAGACTGCTGGAACCTTGATATATTTACAAAAGGTAAGCTACCTATTCTCGCTCTTTATTTTCCATAGATCCCAACCAGTCCATACCCTTAGCTGTCCCAGGCGTTGGCTGGCTGTCATGCTGTGCCCCTGGTCTTTATATACTATCTAGTTAACACTTTTGATACTCTACCTTTTCTTACAGGGAACAGCTTTTATCACTTGAAACTTGAAATTCGAAGGCCTAGAAACCCAAGATCTGTGCTGGGTCTTTGATTATTTTCCAATACCTTCAACAACTGTACCCCTTTCAGCATATTTCATCTCTGTTGGTATCAGTGAATCATCTATCATAGGCATCATGTTTCAAACTACAGAGAACCGTGGGGACCCCGGAAGAGGTAATTCTACTCTACTTCCTTGCTTCTGCGACGTATCCCCTGTGTCATTTGGGCAGTCGTATTTGCTTGATCGACCGACTGATGAACTTGGTTATGGTATATGGGATCCGTGTGGAATACGGAATTTTGAGACTGAACACTTACGAAGACATTGTGAACCTATCTAACAACTATACTAATACTATAGGCCACGGAGAGATCCCTTTTATACAATTGGATTTGCCCAGGACGTCAAATTCGCGCCAGGCTCGCGTCCTAAATCAAACCCGCGAGATTACCAAAGCTACCACCGGCCGTGTCGTTGGCAATCATCACCATAACGACGAAGTTCCGCCTCAGGACACACGGCTCTCATATCCTCACTCTGTCGATCATATCACGCCTAGACACAAAGGGACTTTTGCTGATTCGAATGAACAAGTCGTAGCTTATAACAACATAAACAGCCAAAAGACCAAAGGCGGAATTGGCAGCAAGACTAACAGATCAGAGTTCCTAATTCCTAGCTCAAACAAGATGTCTTCAGACAACCATGCTGTCTACGACAGTCAGGCCGCGCCTTAGGGACCTCGCGGCACTACTAGTCAAGGACTCGGCCTACAACTCTCCCCGCGATCCTCCATCACTTCCGACAATCAACATTGTCGTCCCTTTGTCAAGGCTCGCGTTTGCGTCTTCTTTCGAAAGGGTTACAACTGGGTGGTAGGCATCTTCACCTTCCGTCCCGGTTACAATACCGATGCCGTCCAAATTGTGCTCTACTGCCTGATTGGCGCGGCCACGGTCAGCATCATCGCCAGCGCTAACATGCTCAAGTCCTCCTCGGATAAGCAGACTGAGGATGTGAAGAATGGTATTCTTCTATGGCTGTTTGGCAGCGTTGTCCTTCTAGTTCTGATTCTTGTCTTTAATCAGCACCGCGCCTCTGGTATCGAGGAATGGGGACCTAGTCGCGGCTTGTATACAGAAGCACCGTGGGTCGAGATGGGTAACCGCAACTACCGCCCTCGAGGCCGCCCTCAGCAGTCACGACACCCTACCCACCCGCAGCCTGCCCGCACCGCTGTTCACCGAATCGAGGGCGGCGTCTACCGCCAGTCAGGCACTTCCATCGAGCAGGAGATGGGACGACATCGCCGCAACGCGAATCCCCGAGATAATCGCGTCGACCAGCATCCGGCCCAATATCCACCTTACCAGAAGAACCGCAAGGCAGCCAGTAATTCGGGCGTACAGGATATTATCGCTCGAGCACAACTTCGTGACCAAAGCACCTCGTCTTCTGTCGACAGCGGCATCGGTATTGCTCGCAGCAGCTCCTTACACGACGAGGAGACCGGCAAGCTAGGATCACCCATAGAGTTCAGCACCTGTTCTATGCAGGAGGATTCTGTAGTTACCAACGAGCAACTATCACCTATCCCTTACTCTGCTTCGGCTGGGTCTGGCCTTACCGACATCAGCTACTTCGGCTCTTCTGAATCCAGCTCGCCTCGCCGTCCCGGGCTACCTCCGCGCGACAGCTGGTGTCTCGAACCTTCTTTCAGCTCTAGCACTCTTGTCACCTACGGCAGCACCAAGCGCGATTTCACCAAAGCCGGCGTCTTTCCTCCCCGCAGCAGCTCGCTTACCGAATTGTCATCGCAGGGCACATTCTCCAGCGCCGACCGCAAGTACGAAGTCGAAACCAACTTCTCGTATCCGTATAGAACTGCCTACAAGGAACTCAGCCCCATCATCGAGCGCGCTAGCGAGGCTCCCTCTTCACCTTAGGAGATAGCTTAGGGCGATCATTATCCATTTGCATCCTTGATCGTGTATGATATTTGGATCACCAGTTTAGTAACGATCTGGACATCCAAGATTCTCGGCCGTTTGGTAATTTCTGTTCTTTTTCTCCGCGAGCAACTTTGAATTACTAGCTTAGGTTTGATGGAACATCCACCAGACTGTTATTCTAGTTATAATAATATTGCACTGGAACTGCGCCTACAAGGTGAGTATTTCTTCGTCGTTCTCTATTGCTATGCGTGCTGACTGTTTCGCTTAGACTTGAGTTTTAATCACGAGGGTGTATATTGTATTCCTTCATAAATCATTCCTCGACGAGAGGCCAACACAAACTTGGCTTTTATTTAGCCTCATTGCAAGGTGAAAGAGGAAGTCATTTTGCAGATAGTGGACGCGGGATAATCCGAGCTCTCAGTGTAAGGAAGGCTACAGCTATGATTTTGGCAGTTGAGATACTTGTGTAATATCGTGACCACACGATCCATAGCACCTGATTGATAATGAAGAGCTTGTAATGCGAAAATCTCATTCACCATGGTTTTCCGATTCCGTAACCGGGCAACTGATAGGTTTAAAGTGTCTCTTATAACATGGAAATCCTATCTGGGTTCCCAAGTGAGGGGCCTGGGTTCTGGTTCGCTAACAAGGCCCCAGTGTATGAACATAGTACATGTATAAAGCAAGACCCAGGATAAAACTACTGGAATTCGCGTATAATACACGCCCTAAATTGCCCGTTCCGCGCGAGCACGATTGTCCCTATAACGCTTCTCCTTCGAAACAGCCTTCCGCCGCCTCCTCCAAGAGCGGTTCAGATCACCCCGGCTCTCCCAGAACTGCCTTTGAAAATCACTAGCGGGAGTTTGACCGTCACTACTAGCATGGGTGGCATTGGTACTCGTTCCTGCGTGCTCACCGTTGTCCTCTAGTTCTCCTTCCTCATCATCCTCGGCTATATCATCCGCAGAGCCCTGTCTCGGCCATAGATTGAACGTTCGACTAGGATGTGCCGTATCCGGAGTCGGCGCGGCGCTCCTTACGTTTCTATATTCGAAGTCTTGCTTTGTGAATGGAGTCATGGGAGGCTGGCTCGGGGGACCCATGGCGCTCTCGTCTTCTTCGATGTCATCATCGTCTCCGTCAAAGAAACTAAAAGGTTGAGCCTCGCTGGGTATTTCAGGGCCTCCCTTAGGTCGCTTATATAACGCTTCGAGAGGGTGCACTTTCGTAGGAGCCGGCGTAACAGGGGGTATCTTAATGGTGAGGCTGGTAGTTGAACCGGAAGATTTCGGCCTCGCGGACCCCGTCTTCAGGATTGATACGGGGCTGGTCAAAATCTGCGTGTCTAGCTTGAGCTCCGTAGGCTGCTCCTCGCCTTCATCGTCCGAGCTATCTACAACCTGGCTGAGCATCTCGGCATCATCGGAATCATCAGAAGAGCCACTGCTGCTTGTTGTATCGTCGTCCTCCGCAGAAGTTGCCAGTTCCGAGGGCTTGGACCCTGCCGCTGGTTTTGAAGAATTAACGCTTGGTCTCTTATTCGCGACGGGTTCGACAACAGCTCCGTGCTCGTCCACCCAGCCAACGCCATCTTCAAAAGACACAGCCCCTAAGCTTGACTTCTCGGTGGTGCTCTTGAGAAATGAAGGGTGCTTCGTCGTCTTCTCAAACTCGTGCATGACCACCTCGCGACCGCTCTTGTGCTTCTTCTTTTTGGACCCGTCAGGATTTTGATTATCTTTCGACGATATCCCAGCATCCGGAAGTTTCGTCTTGAACAAACATTCCGGCCCATCTGTATATTTTGACTTGGTCTCCCTCTTCTTTTTCTTTCCTTCCTTAGATTTCTTTTCCTTCTTTGTCTTCCGCTTTTCCTCAATCATCTCGCGATCCGAGGTAGTCCATCCGCGCTTAACTTTTCGACCTTCGAGTTCGACCCCGGGCGTCACGTCAATCTCGCGCTTCCTCTTTTTCTTTCTGTCCTTCTTGACTTCGCTCTCGCCAGCCGCGCCTGTGGGCTCGGGGATGGATTCGGGTTTGGCCTTCTCGATGCGCATCTTGATTCCTCTCAGGACAGCGCCGTTTAGTTTTCTTTTAATCTTGTCCGCATCGGCCGCGGGTAAATCTACGAAACCGTATTGCTTGTCAGGAAAGGTTTCGATGGTGTGATACGAGATGTTACGCGCTCGAGGTAGGACAGAAGAGGGGACAACGACGCTAAGTAGCGATTCGTCTAACGGCGTAATATGCAATCGAGTATACGGAACGGGGTTGGCTGAGGATTTTATCGTGGATTCGGAGGGTTTGAGAATTGTAGCCATAGCTGCGCTATCGTGATGCCATGAAAAAGCCTTTGTTTGATCAGATCGGGCGGCTAAAAATGCGGCTACAAAAGGTGAAGAAATGCAATGCTATCTTATCAGCGTATCGGTGTACCGGTAGCTCTATCAGGTCCCACTTTATTCACCTGCGTGGATCCCGCATTAGCCTCGGCGTGTATCGGTGAGCAACGGTGCGGTTGTCAAGTTCGGCTCGCGGACTCCGGAACTTAACTTTCATCTCCCGAACAATCCATACCTTAAATCTCACGATGGCGCAAAAGTTACCCCCGCTGAGATTTGTGAGATCGGTTAGCATCCGGAATCTAATACGAGAATTACTACTAATTGGGACCGTTTAGGTCTTGAAATCTTTCATGGCCGAGTCCGGCTTGGAGCCGAGGTAAATCGATTCGATGCTCCCACGATATTTCACATACCGTTACTGATCCTCTTCTACTAGGCTACTGGGGCCGCACGTACGTTTAATCCGATATGCAGTAACTGGTACTTGTCTAAGTCTGTTAACGATCACAGTTTAGAGTTACAAACGCCGCTGCAGGGAAGGTTGATTTCGAATTGGATATCACTAAGGACCACACAGTAAGATACGCCATCCAGACTCACGTTCGTTGAAGATCTACTCATATTCTGTGACTAGAACCGCCTGAAGATCATACACGGCGGCACAATTGCTAGCATGGTAGACCTAGGAGGCTCCCTCGCCGTCGCATCGATGGGGCTTTACGCTACAGGCGTGTCGACAGACCTAAACGGTGAGCTCACAACCGGGTTGCGACGCATCTATAAGTCGAAGTGACGCTGACTTTCCAAGTTACCTACCTGAGCAGCGGTGGTAAAGTTGGCGACAAGATCACCGCTACCGCCGTTTGCGACAAGAGTGAGAAACATCATTCCATATAAGCGGCAAGACTAGAACTAATACCTTTCGCAGTGGGCAAGACATTAGCTTATACGTCTGTAACTTTCAGGAATGCCAAAGGCGAACTCGCCGCAAGGGGAAGTCATACAAAGTAAGTTGCCATTCCTTTGATAACTCCTATTCATAATCTGCTAGACGAGGAGTTCCTAACTTCTTTAGATATGTAACGCAAGCTTGGAAAGCCCAGGAAACTCCATTTACACCCCCTGATAATGCAGAGATAGAAGAGGCTTAGATTTGATACTTGCTTTTCAAAGCGGGAAACTTGTTCGATATTTACTACACTACTACCTCTTGACGGATTCGAGTAGCTAAGCGTATAAATGCAACATAGCTACGTTTAAATGGCTGTGTAAAAACATCTTAATTCATCTATCTGAAGCACCTCTCTGCACGCAGCTCGTCAGGTTTCAAGGAAAGAAGCCGCCTTTCCGTTTCACTTCGCCCCTTTCAAGAATAGTGCTCTCCCTAGAAGCATGCGGGGAGGCCCTCCTTGACGAGATCTTCGATTTCGTTTTGCTTTGTCGTCTAAGCGACATCCAAGCGGATCTCCTGTTGCATTGGGAGATTAAAGATCGTAACCGTCCGGCTCTCAAAGTTCGGTTATAAACGGAGGAAGATCCTCATGTTCCTGACTCAAAGTCCCAAGCCTAGATTTTAACGCTGAACTCGCCAGAGTGGAAACCTCGGCGTCAACAGCCGAGCTACTCCCCGAAAGACTCTTGAAGCCAACAAGATCTACCCCGCTGCTGTCGTAAATACTAATGCTCTTCATCCTACTAGCTTGTATCTTTCCTCGCACACGCCCCAGGAACTGCCTTGCTGCAGCCCGAACACGGGGCGAAGTCTCGCGATACTGCACCTTCACCTTATCCAAGGCATACGTCTTGGTTACGCCTAAGCCGAATCCCATAAGCATGGAAGTACCAACCTTTAGCGGACTTATGGGCTCGCCTAGAAGGATCGGTCGAACGATAGACTGCGTTCCATTGTTGACAGCTCCTGTGATTCCGCTCGCCAGAGCCTGCTGCGCCAACGGAGTTAATGCCCTTTCGCCGTACCTAGCGCTGGCCGCAAACGCTTGGGCTGCGGGCTCGGTCCACTTGCCAAGAGATCCACCGGCGGCACCCGTCAGCGCGTCGACGAGGGCATCCATCCCAGTGTAGTTATTGCCTTGGATGGCGGCGCTGACATAGCCGCCGGCGACATTGCCAACTGCTCCCCCTATCGCGGCCGAAGCGACTCCGATTACGGAAGATGCTGTGGCGGCGGCCACTTCACTAAGCCCGAACGCACCAACGGCGGCGCCGAGACTTGCTTCGACAACTAGGCCGACGCCGGCGGTGACGACGGCCCCGATGACGGCCCCGACAACCAAGGCGGTGACCCCGAGGGCAGTTTCCCACGATTGCCCTAGGGGATCGAAATTATTGATGGGGTCACCCTCGCAATATGCGTATCGGTTCTCCTGGTGGTTGCGATCCATGGAGATGAACCCCATGATCTTGGGACTGTAGTATCTAGAGCGCAGATATACCAGTCCGCTCGTCTCATCGCAGAATTCCTGTCCGAAGCCGAAGTTCGACCGCGTGTCGACGGTGGACGAGGGGTTCGCCTTCCCATAGGTATCATAGGTGATGGATGTATTGTGATCCTCGCCTACCAGCAGCGCTGTGGAGTTCACAGAGTCGAAGAAGTAGTCGGACGCCTTCTCGTCCGTGTAACTTGCAACAATAGCCTTGGATCCTCCGAAGAAGCTCGTGTTCTCAGTTGATTTGTTCTCTTTCGATACAGTCAGCGAGTTAACCTTGCCGCTGTTGTAGTACATTTCAACCGTGTCTAAAACACCTTTACGGCGGGCGAGGTAGTCGTCCGCTCGATACTCGAAATCTGATGCCGCGCCTCCCGTCTGCACCGACAACAAACGGTCCCGATCATCAAATTGGTATTTCTGGTCCTGGTCATCGGTGGCCAGCCGCCCTAGTGTATCGTATACGAATCCAGCATCTGTACGCTGGTCGATTTCATTATACGACATTGTAGTTGTCTTCCCATCAACCGTGGTGGAAAGGACGTTGGAGTTTCCGTCGTACGTATACGCAGTATCGCCGAGGCCTGCCGAAGGACGGCTATCGAATGTGACTTGGCCGAGACCATCGTAGACGAGAGTGCGATCCACGTTCAACTCCGGAGCAGTAGTTGACCTGGTTATAATATTTATGGCTTTCCCTTTCCCATCGATAGTGTAAGAAGAGTCAAGAAGCGTCTCGCCATTAGAATCCGTGGCGGTTGTGCCGCTCAGGCGATTGAAACCATCATACCGGATCGTATTGATATAAGAACGTCCGCCGACAAGATTAAAACCAATGCATTGACCGTTGCTATGGTTAGCCGTGCCATAGTTGTAGGTTAATTTGTCTTTTTTGCATGACCGACTAGATACTTCTCCGAACGAGCCGTATTCGGTTGTCCGAGCCACGCCAAAGACGTCTGTTTGCGTCACAAGTCGACTGTATTTATCGAGAGTATTGACTTGCGTGAGACCGTCACTATAGGTGGTTTTCTCTAGAGTGCCGTCCGAGGTAATACCATACTTTATGATATCGTCTCCGTCTTTCACTTGAGTAATATGCCCGTCAGAATCGTAATCAACCTCTATCGAGCTCGAAGGATAGGTCGTCGTGATGAACTGTCCAACATCATCGCAGGTCAAATTCACTTCAGACCCGTCGTATCGTACAGTTTTGCTAAGCCAGCCATTGGCATCGTAGTAGTTCAACTCTTTCTGCCCAAGCTGGTTCCTGGTCACGGCAAGTCGATTGTTCCAATCATATATGTTGATGGGGCCTCTGACCTGGTATTCCCTACCATCAGCATACGTGGTATCCTTGAGCCACGTATACGTGTTGCCCATTAGATCGTAAGTGAACTGCCGTTTAACAGTATCCTTACCCCCAGCGGCCGAGCCGGTGATGGTGCGTGAGAAAACGAGGGACTGAGGGCCGTATTCAATATCAGCCTCTTCAAGCGTAATGCCATCTCCAGATGACTTGGGTTTCTGAATCAGCGTTGTGCTAATAGGTCGTTTATTCCCATCGTATACAGTATCAGTCTCGAGGAGATACGTAGCCAGATCGTCACTTGAATCCGGGTAAGTAACGACTTTGAGCGCCTCTGTGCGTCCGTTCAGCTGAGTAACAGAACGAATATCTCCGTTGAGATCCTGGGTGATTACAAGGTTCACATCGTCGTATTGGTAGCTCAAGACGTTTTGCTTTGGGTCGGTGACACTACGTGGACGGGATAATGCGTCGTAAACGTACTTAGTCACTAGACCTAAATTGTCCGTTGACTCCTTAACTTGAGAAAGAAAGTCGTACGCTTGACGCCTCAGAAGCCTAGCGGCGTCGGATGAAGTTGGCTGAGTTGGATCTCCATTGTCAAGAACTTCGCATTCGCGTCCTAAGACATCGTACTTCGTAAGCTTGACGTAGCCTCCAGGTGATTTCACACTTTCCGAACCACCATTTGGTCCAACTGTGTAGGTATTCGTAGTGACATAACCCAATGCATCGGTATGTTTAATCAGCCTGCAGATATTGTCATAGTCGAAGCTTTCGGTCTGGCCTAAAGGCAAGGTCTTGCTTATCATCGGCCCTGCGTACTTGCGCATGTCGTATTTGACGACGGTGGCATTTTTGTCCGCGTCGTAGATGGTTTGGGTAAGCGTGCCACTGTCAAAAGAGTAGGCCATCGTATTAGTTACTGTGCTGACGCTACCATCGGGCACCGACGCGTCCGGTGCCCAGGCCAGAGTATCCGTGGTGGTTCTACCCTGGCTGTCATATCCATATGAGTGTCGGGTCCACGGTTTGAGCTGCTGACCGGCTCCAGGAAGGAAAGAGAATGTAGTAGAAGCCACGGCTCTTCCATCTTCGGTTGCTGTATTCACCGTCTGCTCCTCGGACTGAGTGATCTCATCCCGTTGGGTAGATTTGCTTACAAGCTGAATGTTACAAGATGTTGTCATATAAACATTCGTTGTTGTTGTCTGCTTAATGAAACCACTATTAGAGACATTGATCTCCGAGGTTCTACTAAGCAGGTTACCGTATTCATTGTATGCGGAACTAGACCGTGTAAGGCACTGCCAAACCGGGTCCCCAGTAGGGCTCGTGTTGTTGGAGGTTGTTGTGGCGACCGGATAATTATACGCGGTAATTCGGGCTCTTTCGTCTATCGGGATGTCATATTCGTATTCAGTCTGGTAGGCCTCTACAAAATTGCCTTTGTTGTCAAGAGAATATTTGATTTGTTGGATAGGTAGGTGGTAGTTGTTGAAATATGTAGTTGTCCTAGCTACCCCGTTCCCGTCCTTGTCGTTACTTGTCTTGGTCACATCGTATCTGTTTAGAATTAGTAGGTAATTCTTAGGCTGTGAGCCTCGTATGCTTACGTGTAGGACAATGCCCTTCCCGCTCCATCCATCAGGGCGTCGGTAGCACCAGCCATTTGGAGACCGATGGCGGCACCCGTATACGTGCTACCCCCGGTGAACCCTCCGAGGTCGTATGAGGTGTTACTATATATCGTATCCTCGGAGTCCATTTGGTAATGCTCATCGACCTTGGGCATATACTGTGCGGATCCATTCGCGTCCAGGTATTTAACAGTACCCCACTCATATCTTGATGATAGTCCAGTGGGATACGTAATTATGGACAGAACCTTCGAGCTACTATTTACAGGGGAAGGCTGATAGTCAAAGGAAGTAGTAAGGTCTGCAGGGTCCTGGATGGTAAGGATGCCATCTTCCGAGAAGTTGATTGTTGTGTATGAGCCTGTAGGAAGCTTGATTACCCACAGCTGAGACTCCTGATATTCGAAGGTAATCTGTTGTCCCCAGGAGTCTTGGACAAAGTCCAGTAGCACGTTCTGCGAACCGACGCCACCATCGGACCCTTGAAGATAGCTGTAGTAAATGAAATTACCGTAGATATCTGAGTTCTGTAAGGGCTTGCCTTCAACATCAAAGTACACCTTGGACCCGTCAACCTGACTAAGCTGGTAGCCGTACTGTCCAGGAAGTCCAGAAGGTAGATCCTGAGGAGGGACAATTTTCTCAAACTTGATACCGTGGTTATTCATGTACTTCAGGCCAGAGGCATAGTCCTTGTCGTCGGACCATTCGTAGTCGATGGCATAGGTATGTCCATTGGCAGTAAGACTCTTGCCATCTAGAACGTAGGGAAGGTCGAGACTCCAATTATGTGGTAGGCCAAAAGTCCCCACCGTGCCGTAACTGTAAAACACGTTCAGGCTCAAGTCGATGCCGGGTCTGACGCCACGAAGTTGTAGCAGCTGTGCTGTATAGTTCAATGACCCTGTATTAGGGTTTACGGACTCGTTTTCTTGGGGCACAATATGACTGAAGGCTTGTGAGCCTTGGTACTGTCCTGTGTCACCCATCTTGATTCTATCAGAAACGGAAGAATCTTTAGGTAGCAGTAGTTGATATGTAGTAGACCTTCAATGAATTCATGAACGATATAAGCGTGGTAAGTCCTAAATCCAAACTCAAGAACCCAGGGAAAGCACAACACCTTTATCATCATGGGCGATGTGATATCTACAAAGCACTCCACGAATGCCCGCAGAGACTTCAGCAGATGAAGCCCACTTGAGTGGATCAGCAGCGGGCTTGCTTTTCGCTGAAAAATCTTCGGATTGCCTATGCCATGGGTTTGTGTATCTGCCAGGTTTGTTCACGTTGGATTCGAATATGATTGGAGGGGCGGGGCGGAGATTGAAAGCAACCTGAGTAGGTAGGTATCATCGACGTAGAAGAGATGGTCCGAGGAAGTATACAGTCAGGGGGCAAGGCGTCTCCTGCATCCAATGGTCACAAGGCGTAGGTACTAGATGGGAATTATTGAATCCTGCATGAAGTAAAATACTACGTTCACTCCCGCGTTTGCTAATCGAGTATAGAATAACTCGAGACATACCTAGGAAGGTTAGATTAATACCTAATTCCGTTCCCTTTTCTGTTGAACAGATTCTAGAGTCAGCCACCTCCCCGCGTGAGACATATAGGGGGTTCACTATGATCTAACACAATTACGAATGGGCGTATGGTTAATCACGTGGGACATTCCTCGTAGAACTTAGGTATTTAAGGAGTCCCTCCCAACTGCTTGAGGATTTCCGGAACTCTCTACTTACTTATCTGTTTGAACTGTCTAGACCGCAATAAATCTTCTCCTGTCGAATCTTGTAGGCTTTATTTGATTCTCTTCTCACGATCTAACAATGCGTGGCAAAACAGACTGCTTTGTTCTTGCTTTTGCAACCTTTGGAGGCCTCGCAGCCGCAGAGAAAGGCGGTTAGTTGAATATCCTCTTCTCATCCGGATGCTAATGAGATTGTTAACATCTCTATACAGCTGCCCAAATCCATGGATGTGTCTGGGTGAACACGAAGCCAGTCAAGCCTTACATCGTCAACTGGAGTCCTGGATCTTCAAGCGACAGGTGCATGCGACTTACGGGTTCCGCTGCATCCATGACGGTCTCGGACAAAGGAATTATTTGCCAAGACCTGGGAAAGGTTGCCGTCGACTCCAGCGGGACTTGTTACTTCAAACAAAGCTGGTGGGGGCTTTCATATACATCCACCGCCGCCTACTCGGGTTCGACCAATAGCCGGTGGACTACAGGACCGGCCAATTCGGATGTCACTCTCTACGATTATAGTCCTGGTACTAGTGTCTGCTCTAGCATGGCGCATTGTCCAAACACTTACGTTGAGTGGTCCAACGGTGCCAATGCTAGTCTATATGTGAGTATACCCCCAGCTGAGATTTCGCCCACTTAACTAAATCATATAATTGTAGTTCGTCTTCACACCCGGCGCGGTGGGCGATCCGGGAAAAAAGCCCCACGACCCCGATGACCCCGATGACCTTGCTGAAGATGAATTTGGGTCAGGTGATAGAGAAAGTGTGAAATTAAATGTACAGGTGCCGGAACTTGAGATCTAGGTTGGGAATATGCGTATTCCGTAGAAAGAATGAGTGAAGGTACACATCTAGACGCAAATAATGGATAGTGGCTTAGGGAATGAGTTGAGAATCAAGAGTGCGTTTCTTATTATTTACCAACAATTAGTGAATGATCTTTTTCACCTTTAAAGTTCTCGGGTCGTCCCCCTTATTCGTGATAGCCCGTAAGCCTCATATTTAGTCACCTTCATAACTCTATAGATTTCGACTGTTACTGAAGACACTGTATGGGATCTTTTCATAAAACCAACGTTTCCTGATAGACTTCCGGTAAAGAGAAGAAAATCCAGTGCTCAAGGTGTTTACGTACTTTGACTCGAAAAGAGAAGCAAAGGTACGTTTGTCGAACATGGATATCGGCTATTCCGAAATCTTGGGGCTACCTGCTTGAATTACTGAAGGGAGACTAGAACAACACTCGCGACAGAAAACAAGGTTAAAACGGATGACAACGTGGGTGGGATTGGAAATGGGTCTAGTTAGGTTGTGAGGGAGACCAAGGATGTGATCAAAGATTAAAATCGCCGACTACGATCTACTCCAAAATATTTCGTGATGGACGCACTATAGTAGCCCAGGTCCCCTAGAGAAGCGGTAATATCCAACCACGACATTTTATTGAGTGTAGCATTATATTATCTAGATGTGACTATAAACATGATATACTCAGCAACTACTTCGCAATACCTCTTAAATATTTTCAACTAAATTATTACTAGTAGGTTTAGGTACTCCATAAGCACAGTCTAGCTTCTATACGAATTCGGTTAGAAAGGGAGCGACAAATGTGGTTTGGTCGTATTTCCCTCAAAAAGGGGAGTCCAAACTGGCGTTCGTTCAGCTTCAGCCCCAATCATACATTACCCGAAGGGTAAGAGACGCACTCGATAAAAACGCCTCACACATGCGCACAGACGATCTTACCTTTATACTTCCTAGTAGAAGCTGACCTGAGACAGTACCTCTCGGGCACTCGGGAACCTTAGGCGAGGTATCGGGGTATGGGCCGTTCCATGGAACGATGGATGAGCCGGGTTAATCCACCCGCAGGCCGTCTGTCAGCTAATACCTCCGATTCGCCAGATACGACCGTTGAGAATAGCGTTAAAGGTGATCCATAGACTGCGCTAGCCGTTCTGACGTTATTCTGCGTCTGTGGGGTTATCGACAGTACTGCCGGGTATGCAGGCCGATCGAAAACTCATCATGTTTCTTACATACAGTGGACTTAGGGACCATATTAACGCCACATTCGGGCCCTGATTCAATATAACATGTTTTTCCCAGTTTAAGGAATGAAGTATACCAACAAAACCCGTTAGTGAAGCGGTCAAAAACAAATCCCGGTCTAATCGCCAGCGGTCTGGAACGGGGGCTGACCGGCGACTAAGAGGAACCAAACCCTCACGATCGCTGGTCCGCCGTCTAGTTCTGCATATCCTACTTCCTCATTCTGATCAGCCACAGCGATAGTAGGTAGCTGGGCATTTCTTCAAACTACCTAACGCATTATACGTCACTCGAGCATTCACAAAGTAACCGGCAGGTCATGGGTGCACGGCGACCCCATGTCTCACCATGATCCAATTTGCGTTTGAAGGGCATTACTATTGAGAGGAGAAACCGGATATACCAAATAGCAATGGATTTTACTGTGACATGACTAAAACCACACCCAGTTCAGCCAGCCTCACAGGCAGTCGGGATGTTGTGGGATTAGTTGGAAAACCCCTTGGACAATTCCCCTAGCTAGAAGGCCGCAGAACCGATGCTCCGCTCGAAATAACTTCCATACTCAGGACGAGACCCAAAACCATTCCCATGCTCTCTTCTCAATCACTTGTTTCTCATAGTTTCAACCAACATGGATTCCTATGATATTGAAGGCGCCGCGGGCGATGGAGATCTTAATGACTTCTCGTGCTATATTACCATAAACAACCTTTCAGATGAAGATCTCGGCCTCAGTGATTTTGGGATCAACGGCCGATATGGCGTATGGCCAGAGGGTATGCCTCTCAACACAATCGACGCCCATACAAGTCCGCAGATACAGCTCAAAGACCCCAAAAGTGAGTTCAACTTAAGAAAAGTGCTTAGAGTTGTGTACTGATTCGCTGAAGTCTATGGAGGCTCGGAAGGATGGGTAGAGTATCAAGTTCTCACTGGAGGTTCTCCTCCAACCTTTAGGCTAGAGTTCGCTTGTCCGGAACTACCCTGGTCCTCAAACTACTTGAAGGCGATACCCAGCAAACCTGATGTATATGATCTGAAAGTGTTGCCGTATAAGGAATCCGGTCACCCATTCTATGGTATGAGAGCCAAGTTCAAGCGCTTCGAATCGCAATACTTACATAGGATAGGGCAAGTCGATGTCAAAATTACGGCATCGAAGAGCAACGGCAAGCTGCACCACAAGCTTCTTCTTGGCGGCACTCGTGAGAACATTCTCAACATCAAATATCAAAAAGAAAGCGATTCCTTCAAGGCCGAGTACGACATCGGATTTGACGGTGCCGCACCTTTGGTCACCAAGAAGCCCGTACACGAAACAATTGGCATTGCTGCTTTCATTCTATCCAATAAGCTGCCTAAAGGGACAACCTATCACAATTTAAATGATAAGCAATGGGAGTATTTCCGCGGTGCCGTGTGGAATGATGACCCATCGTGCTATCTTTTCGATGACTATACCAAAAAGAACCATGAATTCAGTACCGGTCTTAGGTGGTATGAAGACTTCGAATATGGACCTCCTTCTTGCATGATCCAACGCTCTCACTTTGGCGATCTCCAGTTTCTTCACGGCATGGGCGCCACCGTTGGTGAAATGCCAGCAGAGACCCAGAGAAAAATACTCAAATGGCTCACGGTCATGTACAAGCTCGCCTGCGGCAACCAGGGAGTGTCTGATACGGATCAACTTCAGCAGGCCCTGGGAGAGTGGTTCGACTCCAGTACCACGCCCACGGGCCAAAGCTCACTTCGCGACCTTATCTTAGCTAATACGCCCAACTATTATCAGACTAATATTCAATGGCGGGCGCTCGGCATCTGCCTACACATGATTACGGACTCTTACGCAGTTGGACATACTCAGCGCAGACTAAGAAATCCCGAATCTTATCTCGGTCGTGATGAGGATGGTTACATGGTCTTCAAGCCCGGAACAGTAAGTAGATCTCGCAGTCGTTTTCTTCCTTTTTAAAGAATTTCAAAGTGCATACTCCCGAAAAACCTATCCACTTAGCTTAATATTGCATCTACTGACTACCGAACGTCGCAGTGGGGGGACTGGGGTGCCGTCATCAACTTTCACTGCTATGCCGGGCAGAACAGCGATCAACACGCTCACTACGACGGTCTCGAAGATGCCCCACTACCCGTGCCCAAAAATCTAGATTCGTTCAACTCAATCATTGGTGCACGGAATGCCATCGAAGGCTGCAGGAAGTTGATTGATTTCTGGGCGGACGGGACGAAGTGGGAAGACGGCGTCGAGACGTTCTTGCACACGGAAATCTTTGCGATCGACCAAGCAGCGAGCCCTTCCAACAGCCAGGTTGACCAATCCGGCCCTATCTCATTGTCCTGTTGTCGTTTCACTAGCAGAAACACACATGTCGAATATCAGGCCGGCCTTCGGAGGAAGCTGAACAGCGTGGATTCTCGCGTACTGACCAGTCGGAATATTGTTGGCAAGATGCGTCGACGCCCTGCGTGGAAGGCAACAGCGCTCACCCTTTCTGTATTAGTTTTTGCGATCATCTTGACCCTTTTAAGCCTTTGGGTTTTTAAACCATTAAAGATAAACGGACAAGTAGTGTAAGTCAAGTAATGGTTATTTAACCATAATTTTACTTTTTTAAATATATTAAATAATGTGAAAATCGAGCAAATATTATTTTAAAAACGAAAACTTTTTTATTATAATTTGAAAATTATAACTTTATTACGATTTTAAATTTAATATATATATATAAAAAAATAATATATTAAATTATATAATATATATAAAAATAAAAAATTTACATAATTATGTTTTACAATTATGTTATTTTATAATAATTATATATAAATTTTAATATAAAAAAACATTTTTTATATTTTTTAATATTTCCGGTAATTTTTTTAAAAAACGTTTAATAATAAATTATTATTTATAATAAATAATTATTTTATATATAATTATATAATTTAATTAATTTATTAAAATTAATTTATAATATAATTAAATTAAAATAAATAATAAATATTAAATTATTTAATTCTTTTATATATAATATTATAATATAAATAAAACCGGTAATAAATTTTTTTTAAAAACATTTATAAACATGTTATTACGTAAAAATAATTATGTGGTAATATGTGATTATTTTTTACATAAAAGGCAATTTTTTTTAAATAACACTTATATATACAATTTATAATTAATATAATATTAATTAATTAAGTTAATAACAATTATTGCGATAATTTTATTTTATATTATTTTTTTTTCTTTTTTTTATTTATTACGTTATTTTTTTTTATTATTTAATTTATACGGATACTTTGTTTTATTTATATTAATTAATAATTGGTTAAAAAATAAAATTATAAATTAATAAAGTTAAAAAAAATTATAAAAAAAAACGTTAAACGTTTTTTTTCTTTTTTTAATAAAAAAAGATAATAGTTTAAATAATTATTATATTATTTTAAAATTTTAAAGTTTTTAAATAAGTTAAAAAATTCGCGTTTATTACATATTTTATAACATTTTTATTATATTTATAACCATTTAACATAACTTTAATATAAAATAAATATATTAATAATAATATTTTAAATATTAATTTAAACATTAATTTTAACTTTAACAATTTTAAACTAAATAAAATAATAATAAAATAAATTAATATATATTATATAAAAAGTTTTATATATTATTTTAAATACCACAATAATAAATGCGATAAAAATATATAAAATAATTTTAAAGATTTTTTTACGGGATAACAAATAAAATACTTTTAAAAAGTATACTTTTTGTTTTAAAAACTAATAATAAATTATTTTTTATATTATAAAATATATTTTAATAAAAAAAAAACCATTTTTAAAAAATTAAAAATAATTGTTAACGTTAAAAAATTCATAAAATTTTTATTTAACAAAATTACCGTAATAATAATATAATTCGGGTAATAAACATTTATTTATTTAAAAATAATATTTAAATTACTTTAAATACAAGTAATATAATTAAATAAAATAAATATAAAATAATTAATAACACCGGAAACAATATAATTAATTAAAATATCACCGGAGTTTATCCCACAATTAATAATACCAAAATCAAGCTTATAAACAATACCGAAATTAACTTTATAAAAAATACAATTAATTTTAACAATATTAAAACTAATTTTATAAACATAACCAATTTTATAAATATTTTTATTAAAGTTTAATAAACTTGTTACGTATATTTAACCGATAAAACCATAAAACATTATTAACCATGTTAAAGTGTATAATAACAACAAATATAAATATAAAAATAAAAAATATAACTTAAAAAATGGTATATTAAATAAAAAAATTAAAATTATTAAAAATCTTTATTATAAAGTTAAAATCGGTTAATTATATTAATTTAATAAAATAATTTCGTTTTTAATTAAATAATTCGATTAAAAATAACTTTGTTTTTAATTAAACAACTTTTATTTTAACCGTTTTAATTAATTAACTTTAATTAACTTTAATTAACTTTAATTAGTTTTAATTAACTTTAATTAACATAATAAAAAATTTAACCATATATTTAATTTACTTAAACTTATTATTATTATAATAAATTAAAACTTATTAACAATTATATTATAATATAAAAAAAACGGATTAAAAATAAAAAAAAAAAAAATTTATTAATGTTAAATTAATTAAATTATATAAAATTTCATCGACGGACAGTCGCAAGCTTTTGATCTGTCTCGAAATTTTGTTATGGGAGGTGGGGGCCAAAAAGGGGGGGGGGGCAAAAAAAAAAAAAAAAAAAAAAAAAAGGGACGTAATAGTGTGGGGATGACACCGTGAAAGGGGGGGGGCCATG